GCGGGTGTGTGTGTGGAGAGTGGTGAAGGTTGTTGTGGAATTCTGGGCAAATCCCACAATGCAAGAGAGACTGAACCCCGTTTGGCTTCACGTAAATTGTGAAACTCAATGAGAATGCAGAAATAGACATGTGATACTGCACTTTACATATGTTTTATTGAACTTCTTTCGCACCGTACGTAGCCGACCATCATAATCGGCAGGCGGTGGTTTTAAAAAGCCCACTCAAAACTTGCAGCAAATGACAAACATTTACAGGATGGTCCAAATGTCTTGTGATCCCCATTTAATACTCTAAAACTTAACATTTTTCAGTAAGATTTAAAACAGAAATGAATATGCGAAAGAAAAAAAACTATGTTAGGGGACAATTCGTTGGGGGGGGGGGGGGGGGTCACAAGAATCAGAATCAAGACACGTGGACCATCCTGTACATTTGTTTATAACTAGGCTACGAACGAGTCTGTGCTCGCTTTAGTCTCTGGCAGACGTGAATCTATCTCCAAATAGTGCCCCACCATGTGTCATGGAAGGGCCACCGCAAGTTGACACCACAGCCCTTCATCATGAAGTTCCTTCAGTGTACCCTTGGCCACGCGAGGTGGTGCCCAGTTTTCACTGCACCACAACGAATGGTCAACACACCCCTGTTAAATTCACATTATACTGGTAGGAACCCACTGGTTTTACCAGCCCACAGGGGATTATTGTGTCCGTCCGTCGTGCAGGGTGGGGCTGGGTGGGGAGGGGCTGGGTGGGGAGAGGCTGGGAGGGGAGGGTGGGGAGGGGCTGGGTGGGGAGGGTGGGGCTGGGTGGGGGGTGGGAGGGGTGGGGCTGGGTGGGGAGGGACTGGTCACTCCGTGGTGCCCTTATAAAACTCAACGTTTAACCTACTCACGCCGGCTTGTGCCCGCCCTTACAGTCGGGCATATTTGCGGAATACACCACGCCACCGTTGACCCTGGCCATTGACCGAGCAACCCAACGTTTCTACCAGCTCCCTCCACAGGAATGTCCTTTGTTTAGTCTGTGGATCTGCAATACACTACGTTAATCAAACACTTAAGTGTAAAACAATGATTGTTTGTGCATCACTATTGGTGACGCTATGATTATGTGGTTGTATTTATCATGCGGCTATTGTGGTTAACTTGTGGCTATATTCTGGATGTGTTGAATATCTGGTAGTGGTTATGTTGTGGTTAAGCGTGTATGTATGGTGAACTTCTTTCGCACCGTACGTAGCCAACCATGATTGTTGTGGCTGAATGCAGTTGTGGATACGACTGTGGTTATATTGCGGATGTTGTGGTTATAATGCGGCCGTTATAGTTGTGGTTACAATGTGGTTGCAGTTGTGGTTATATTGTGGCTTCAATTGTACAGGAAGTTGTAAAACAGTTGTACAGCTGTTGCTAACATTCATATACGCGGTGTGAATGAATACATTAACATGGACATCGTTGTTCATCATTGCAATGTCACATTGTTGTTAGTGTTGTTTATCAATTATTACTCTTGTTGGTGATGTTATGAACAGTAATCGTATTGTTTGTATGCCAAATGAGAGGTATTATTTTCGAGAGAACAATAATTATTCTAAGGTTTTTTTCGGTAAAGTCACGTAGGTAAAACATCAAAATTAAAAAAAAAAATTAATTTTGATGTTTTACCTACGTGATTTTACCGAAAAAACCTAAGAATATGAATCATTGCAGTCACGAAAGCTTCAAATCTAGAATAAAGAACAATAATTATGTACATACACTGACACCTACTGGTGACACGTAGAAGCACACTACTCCATTGAGAATGCATCATTCTGAATTGTCACCATACTTGGTGGTTAGCAAACTGCACCAACTTACCCGGGTTCAGGGCTGTGACTAACGCCAGTGCCACGGTGGCGAGATGTTAACTACCTCGCCTGGTATACAGGAGGTCGTGGGTTCGATCCCAACATTGACGCCTGCTGCTGTATATTCGGAGTCTGCGTGTCTCTCTCCCCGTGGTCGTGTGGATTTTTCTCCGGGTCCACCGGCTTTCTCTCCACATTTAGAATCAACATCACGCGTTTAGAGTAGCTGGCTGCTATACATTTCCACGTGATAAGCCAACTTCTTTGAGCTGTAATTTGTGGCCAGGTCGCTTTTGAACAAGAGCTGCATAGCTTAGTGGGCATTACCTGGTAAAATAAAAAAAATAGTGGTAGTACGGGTAGATGCGTAAAGATACCTGAACCAGTACTGACCGAGTCCCCCTCCAGCCTTTACCAATCTGCAAAAACCAACGTGGGGTAGAATTGTCAAACAACCCCCACAGCTCACATATCGTGGGTGGGGGGTTCATCCAGCAGTAGATCGACAACGGGTTGTAAAATATTATCACAACGTATATTTTTAAAAAAGAAATTGATTGTCCAGCGAAACTATATGCAACGTTGAAGACTTGAGATGAAATTCATGAAAGTGGATGAACATTGGATCCACAACTCCATGCAAACCCATCACTGTGGAGGCAGCAGCGAGGGTTGATCGATAATTACAGCGTACAGAGGGACTCCTCTACTTGCTCACGAGTTAGATCCCATCGGTCTGTTTAACACGCCGGCTTTCGCGACCAATATCCATAATAGAGGTGTTGGGGTTAGATCGCGCAAATATATAACTGCGTCGTTAAAGGGTTGTCACGTAAACAGAGAATGGCCAATTCGTCACTAGTACAGCAACACCATTGGCTGTGTCGGGTGGTGGCGGGTTTTAACGACACATTTATGTATCCCATAAGTCTGATCGTAAGTCGATTTGTTCGTAACTCCAACTTCATTAATTCCAAACATGGTGTGTGGGGAATGGCTGTAGAAGTTGCACACAGTAATCTCCTGTAGATGCACTGGTTCTTTATGTTCTGCAGATGTAGATGCCACCACCGCCATCTATTGCGCAGCGGTTCAACTGACGGCTCTCTGTCCGAACAGGCAGCTGGACATACGGGCAGGTCTGTTCGTATCTCTCAAAGTTCGTAAGTCGAATGTTCGTAAGTAGAGGAAGTCCCCATGTACAGCGCATTTCATAAATCTCAAGATGCTTTACATCAACGACAGTGGGGACGATGCCCGAGGGCATGGAGGTAATGGGGACATGGAGGTGATGGGGACATGGAGGTGATGGGGACGAGGTGATGGGGACATGGAGGTGATGGGGCCGAGGGCATGGAGGTGATGGGGACATGGAGGTGATGGGGACGAGGTGATGGGGACATGGAGGTGATGGGGCCGAGGGCATGGAGGTGATGGGGACATGGAGGTGATGGGGACGAGGGCATGGAGGTGATGGGGACATGGAGGTGATGGGGCCGAGGGCATGGAGGTGATGGGGACATGGAGGTGATGGGGACGAGGGCATGGAGGTGATGGGGACATGGAGGTGATGGGGACGAGGGCATGGAGGTGATGGGGACATGGAGGTGATGGGGACGAGGGCATGGAGGTGATGGGGGCATGGAGGTGATGGGGCCGAGGGCATGGAGGTGATGGGGACATGGAGGTGATGGGGACGAGGTGATGGGGACATGGAGGTGATGGGGCCGAGGGCATGGAGGTGATGGGGACATGGAGGTGATGGGGACATGGAGGTGATGGGGACGAGGTGATGGGGACGAGGTGATGGGGACATGGAGGTGATGGGGACGAGGTGATGGGGACATGGAGGTGATGGGGACGAGGGCATGGAGGTGATGGGGACATGGAGGTGATGGGGCCGAGGGCATGGAGGTGATGGGGACATGGAGGTGATGGGGACGAGGGCATGGAGGTGATGGGGACATGGAGGTGATGGGGACGAGGGCATGGAGGTGATGGGGACATGGAGGTGATGGGGACGAGGGCATGGAGGTGATGGGGGCATGGAGGTGATGGGGCCGAGGGCATGGAGGTGATGGGGACATGGAGGTGATGGGGACGAGGTGATGGGGACATGGAGGTGATGGGGCCGAGGGCATGGAGGTGATGGGGACATGGAGGTGATGGGGACATGGAGGTGATGGGGACGAGGTGATGGGGACATGGAGGTGATGGGGACGAGGTGATGGGGACATGGAGGTGATGGGGACATGGAGGTGATGGGGCCGAGGGCATGGAGGTGATGGGGACATGGAGGTGATGGGGACGAGGTGATGGGGACATGGAGGTGATGGGGACATGGAGGTGATGGGGACATGGAGGTGATGGGGACGAGGGCATGGAGGTGATGGGGACATGGAGGTGATGGGGACATGGAGGTGATGGGGACATGGAGGTGATGGGGACGAGGGCATGGAGGTGATGGGGACATGGAGGTGATGGGGACATGGAGGTGATGGGGACGAGGACATGGAGGTGATGGGGACATGGAGGTGATGGGGACATGGAGGTGATGAGGACATGGAGGTGATGGGGACAGACAAAGAGTCGCATGCTGCAGACCCATGGGTCCATCTGGACAGGGTCGCAGTGGAGACATCCATGCGGATCGATCGTCGATAAGAATCGGATTAACAAATTAGAATCGTACATTTAGCATCGATTGTTGTGCGTCGGATTCGCGTAAGCTTTGCTGTAAAACACGTGTCATTGTCACAGGTGCAAGGCGACTCAAGGCGGACATCCCACGCGAACTTTGTCGTAGCCACTCGACCAAACTGCAGCGACGATTGCAATGAAATGAAATCGATTCTAGAATCGACGGAATTCGAATCGAGAATCGAGTGACGGAGCCTTGGACCATTCCTACTACCAGACGACTTCAGGGGGGGGGAGTTTTATAAAACGAAACTGTAACACACCACAATGATCAAAACACCTATTTATAAACACATATATTAAATAAATACTTATATATCGTATCTGTACATGAGTTGAACGCCACACGACACGTAATAACCGATTAATAATAAATAATTTCCATGCCGCCCCCCCCCCCCAGTGAGGAGCGAGGTGGTAGAGTCGGCAGCGTCGCGTGTCCACGCCGCGTCCCGTTGATCTCGGAACCACGCCGCCTCCTCCTTCTTCTCCTCCTCCTCCTTCCCTCCCTCATCCCACAGGGTTCCCTCAGAAGCCAACCAGCCATGGTGGACGAGAGCTACGCACCGGACAGGGACATGAAGGTAACGAGCGATAGAGAATCCACCGTTTGCTTTGGCGCCAATTTCTCTCTCCCCACCCCGAGCCAGGCCGCCGCCGCTGCTGCTGCTGCCCGAACTCATCCTCCGTGGTCGTCGTCGTCATTCTCGCTCCACTGCTGGACGAGTCCACGCTTCCCTGGGCACGCAGAAGCGATGGCTTCGCTCGTGCGTGGCGCCTTGAGCCGCCGCCTGAAGTTAGCGAGGCTCTCGGCTGCATGGAGGGGGGGTCGACGCGTGGCGTCCACCCGCCCACCACGCAAGTCTTCTGGCGGCTGTCCGCCTGGCGATGCTGGTTGTAATTGCTGACGAAACGTCGTACTCGGATTGTCAATGTTGTGTGGGTTTACTCCCCAACACACCGGTGTGCTGTACTAGTATAGTACACTATACACACTATACACTAAAATATACACTATACACTAAAATATACACTACATTATACACTACACTACTACACTATACTATACACTACACTACTACACTATACTATACACTACACACTAAATATACAATATACACTAAAATATACACTACACTATACACTACACACTAGTGCTGTACTAGTATAGTACACTATACACACTATACACTACACTATACACTACACTATACACTACACACTAGTGCTGTACTAGTATAGTACACTATACACTACATTATACACTACTACACTATACTATACACTACACTATACACTACACACTAGTGCTGTACTAGTATAGTACACTATACACTACATTATACACTACACTACTACACTATACTATACACTACACTATACACTACACTATACACTACACACTAAAATATACACTATACACTACACTATACACTACACACTAAAATATACACTATACACTAAAATATACACTACACTATACACTACACTATAAACTACACACTAGTGTTGTACTAGTATAGTACACTATACACTACACTACACACTAGCGCTGTACTGGTGACGAATTGGCCACGTTCTGTTTACGTGACGACCCTTACTAGTTGACTGTGTCGGGTGGTTGCGGGTTTATCGCACATTTATATATTTACGCGCTCTAAACCAAAGAAACCTGTATTATGGATGATCTTGGTCGCGAAGGCCTACGTGTTAAACTAAATACTTTAATATTGTCATCGTTTTAATACTGTACTGTATTCCCTTCACACACACTTTTTTCCCTGTAATAGTTTGAGTGAATGTGTTATTGTTTTTTTTATTATTATTTACCATCAGTCCCACCAAGACTAAGCATTTGCCTTGGCTTTATTTGATGTCATCAAATGCTCACCACCTCAAACTCCCCCACGAGTGATGTTGGGGGCAGTCGTGGAGAGAGTGGAGAAGTTTCTGCACCTGAGCGATTGTGCTTATGACCGGCTCCGGTTTGGCACCCGAGGTTTCAACTCCGAATCAGTGGAGCGAAATTGTCTTCATCGGCTGCGTAACGCTGTGTGGAAACTACCTGGTCTGTCACTTAACACACAAATCCGAGTCTTCTCGGCCACCCTTATGCCCTCCCTGTTCAATGCTTGTGACACGTAGAGCCATCTAAAGGAACATCCTGCCTACGATCCATCCTGAGGTTTCACCAGGCTAGATTTTGTGAGATCACAGATTCATGACAGATCTGGACATATTCCCATTGGTGAGTTCCTCCGACACGCAAGGCTGCGTTGGCTGGGTCACGTAGCCCGCATGCCCAACCACTGCATACTCAAGCAGCTTCTGTTTGGTCGGATAGAGGGGGATAAACTTGCGCGGCACGGGCTGGAGAAGAGATGGACTGATCTGGTGCAGGACGATGTGGAGCTGAGTGGACTTGCCGAAGATTGCTACCAGCGTTGTCAGATTCAGTCTCTGTGGATGAGATTTGTGAAGGACGCTGCTGGAAAGTTGGAGACAATCGCCCTCCCACAACAACGGAGGGCAGAGAAGTGACGCTCACAACAACGAGTGGAACGCCGGGCGTATAAAACGCAGGGTAGTTGGCACAGTGGGGAGCACAGTTGGTGCATCTGCCAGTCGGCTCATGGCACCTGGGTCTCTTGTGTGACCTCCAGCCAGCGGGCCTTCGACATTTCATGTGGTCTCAGTGTGCCTGGCATGGTTTTGCGAGCGTTTTCTGAGCCTCTGTTAGGGTATTAATTAACGAACATAGGTGTTTGTGTATTTATATGTCTGTTTGTCTGTATTTGTGTGTGCATGTTTATGTGTGTGCGTTTTATTTAATGTGGAGTAATGTAAACTACTAATGTACATTAGGATATAGATTGTTCATTGTGGTGTACATTATCGTGTAAAGTAGTGTATGGTAAATATTGTAGTCTGATATAATTTAGTTGTATAGTGTAGCATGTGGTGTATTGTGTGGTGTATAGTGCTGGTGTATGAGTGTGAGCTGTCATGCAGTTTGAGGGTGAGTAGGGGGTGAGTGTGGTGAGGCTGAAGTGAGTGTGAGCAGGGGGTGAGTATGTCTGTCTAACCACTGCATTCTGCACACACAAGTGTAATCAAGAATCAGATCATGACTGGATAATCACGGTCCATCAAATCACGAAGTGGGTGAATCGTTGCCTCCTTTACGGGTCTTGTGATTATTATGTGTCCATGTTTTTGTTTGTTGCGGTTGCACCCGAGTCAAGAGCCGCATGGCTCACAGGGCTATACCTAATAGATGAAACTGAATGTAACGCAAATCTTCTGTGAAGCTGCGTTTGTCACCGCCCCCCCCCCCTCTCTCGGCGTTCACCCCCAGGAGTTCCAGTTCCGGCAGATGAAGCGCGTGCGTGCGTTTGTGCCACCGGGACTGCTGCCCTGCGATCGCGTGAGCCTCCTGGCCGTGTCCAGTCGCTACGGCCTGCTGTTCGTGGGCGTCCCCTCGGGCCTGCGAATCTACGAGACGCGCAGCCTCGTGGCGGCCAACACGCTGGGCGGGGACATGGACACCGTGGGTGAGGAGGAATTATTTTTCTCCCCCATCATTATCCCGATTGTGAATCGTTGCTTCCTTAACAGGTGTTATTTTGGGATGATGTCGATGTCACGCAAGTCTTCCGTGAAGCTGTCATTGTCACCAATTAGCTGTTCAGGAGGCAATCGTTCATCATGAGAATCCATTCGGATCTCTCAGCAGTGCAACCCTCCCATTGCGGAGAACATCCCGATTGAGCTGTAAACATCTCCTTACTTCCACCCCATCTCCCTGCCCACCCCGAATTGATGGGTTCTTTCTTAGGCCCACTCAAGCCCATCGCAATTGTGGGAAAAGCTCACACTGATGATTACGCATTAACTTTTTCACAGGTTATGATAAATTCTGGCGTGACCCATCGCGTTGTCATGAGCCATTGCCCTGTGGGTACGCGCTGATGCACTGATGCCGTGTCCCCCAGGCTGTCCCACAAAATCGTGAAGCTCCGCTGACGAGGACAAATACTCGGGACATATTTGTCAGGCGTGTCGTTTAAAGACCTCACTCCGTTGACATTGCATTACAACTCAAGGTAGTGATGTCAGTGACATCCTGATTGTGCTGTGATAGTGTGCATGACCGTAAGTTGGTTTTCCCATCAACAAGGATTTAAGCTCGTGTTGTGTAGGCTGGGACTCGCAGCCTCGATGTGTCTCTACAAACGGTAATTTCCTGCTCAAATGAGTATTGAGGCAGTGCTCATCTCCTGTGTACAGCCCTGTAGAGCCAGCGATAGAAATTCGACATTCTGATGGTGAGGGTGACTCTCTTCATAGGACAACCACTGCTGACTTGGCCACAAAGTGGTGCTTGTTGGTAGTAACGTGTTTTTGGTTTGACCACGTGAATGTAAATGTGTCATACACCCACTTCCACCCGACACAGGAAATTAGTAAGGTTTGTTACATGAACAGAATGTGCCAATTTATTATTACTGCAGTACACAGGTGTGTTGGAGAGCATCTATTGAAATTGTGTTCTGATTAAGGTTTGTTACATGAACAGAATGTGCCAATTTATTATTACTGCAGTACACAGGTGTGTTGGAGAGCATCTATTGAAATTGTGTTCTGATTAAGGTTTGTTACATGAACAGAATGTGCCAATTTATTATTACTGCAGTACACAGGTGTGTTGGAGAGCATCTATTGAAATTGTGTTCTGATTAAGGTTTGTTACATGAACAGAATGTGCCAATTTATTATTACTGCAGTACACAGGTGTGTTGGAGAGCATCTATTGAAATTGTGTTCTGATTAAGGTTTGTTACATGAACAGAATGTGCCAATTTATTATTACTGCAGTACACAGGTGTGTTGGAGAGCATCTATTGAAATTGTGTTCTGATTAAGGTTTGTTACATGAACAGAATGTGCCAATTTATTATTACTGCAGTACACAGGTGTGTTGGAGAGCATCTATTGAAATTGTGTTCTGATTAAGGTTTGTTACATGAACAGAATGTGCCAATTTATTATTACTGCAGTACACAGGTGTGTTGGAGAGCATCTATTGAAATTGTGTTCTGATTAAGGTTTGTTACATGAACAGAATGTGCCAATTTATTATTACTGCAGTACACAGGTGTGTTGGAGAGCATCTATTGAAATTGTGTTCTGATTAAGGTTTGATACATGAACAGAATGTGCCAATTTATTATTACTGCAGTACACAGGTGTGTTGGAGAGCATCTATTGAAATTGTGTTCTGATTAAGGTTTGTTACATGAACAGAATGTGCCAATTTATTATTACTGCAGTACACAGGTGTGTTGGAGAGCATCTATTGAAATTGTGTTCTGATAGCTATAGGCTTAGTGCTGCTTGGAAACGTATAATTTAGTAATAACTGCAATACATCAGTTAATGTACTTGAGTTGAAATCGATACAGCTGTAATGCAACACTACTGATCCTTGCGTATCTTACACACAACGCACACCATGTACCAGTCACACAACACCCTTACTTTATATCCAGACACACTAGACCACGTGCCATGCACACCAACATTATTACACACGCCACGCATACTACACACGCTCGGCACATTGTGCATACACCACGTGCTCTGCACAACACAAAACCAGATCAACACGCACACCACAGTTTCTGCATAGAACACAAACGTACGTTAATGCACCACTATCAACTATTTCATATATAACTAATAATCTCAGTTGATGAACCGACTAATCTAACAGGTTACATGTATAATTTTATATCAACATAATTTTTTATTATTTATATGAACAAATAAACCCCCCTGGTTCCTTCTCACTTGTAGGCGCGCAGTGATGATATCACCTTCCCCGATTTAAGACGGAAAAACAGGAACACATCTTTACACGCTCTTGGAAAAAACGCCAGATGGTGTTAGTTGTAATATATGTGTGTAGGATGAATTTCTTTAGCACCGTACGTAGCCAACCATGCCAATCGGAGGTGCGGGGGAAGGACCACAAACTAAACACTAAAAGCAGCAATCGCCGTACTTCGTTGTAAATGATGTGGGTTCTCCAACACACCGGTGTGCTGCAGTAGTAATACATTGGCACGTTCCGTTCACATGACAAACTTGACTAATTGTCTGTGGAGGTGGGTGTAGGACACATTCACATTTACTCGACCTAACCCAAAACACTGTTTCCTCATGGCTAATATGGGTCACGAAAGCCTACATGTGAAAATGTGGTACTCACTTTATCGACCCCAGAGGGATAATGGGCTGAGGCAACTGCTTTTTGTGTTTAGTTTGTTACCCCCCTCCTCCCCCACACATCCGACTAGCATGGCTAGCTACGTACGGTGCGAAACAAGTTTTACATACTTACATACAGTAAATACAAGCCCCAACGATGATTTTACCTCGCAAACCTCTGCCGTTGAGTCGTCTTGCTTGAAGGGCTGCTGGTTTTTTTGCTTGGCGTTCACGAGCGCCGTGTGTACCCCCCCCCCTTCCCCTCCTCCAGTGGAGGACGTGGAGCACGTGGAGCTGCTCTTGCCCCAGCAACCGCACCAGATGTCGCTGTCGTCGGACGAGCTCACGCTCGCGCTGTGCCTACGCCACGCGCCCGGCACCGCCGTACACTTCTACGACGTCCGTGCACTCGCCAAGAAGGTGAGCGATTACCTCAACATCCGGCTGTCTCGCCCGATGGCTTCTGCACCCGGCTCGGCTGACGTGCAGCCATCCATTGTCTCGCGCACCCATTGCTCCCAAACATATAGCCGTACACTCACCCAGTCTCTCAAACATACAGCCGTACACTCTCCGAGTCTCTCAAACATACAGCCATACACTCACCCAGTCTCTCAAATGTACGACAGTACACTCACCCAGTCTCTCAAACAAACAGCCATATACTCACCCAGTCTCTCAAACAGTCACCTAGTCTGTCACTCTCCCAACCACTCAGTCTCACTCATCCAGTCATACACTCACCCAGTCTCTCATACGTATAGCCACCCTGTCTCTCACTCACCCAGCCACTCCATCTCTCACTCACCTTGCCATACACTCACCCAGCCGCTCCATCTCTCACTCACCTTGCCATACACTCACCCAGCCACGACATCTCTCACTCACCTTGCCATACACTCACCCAGCATCCCAGTCACCAATTATCTCAAATGCACAACTTAATAGCCACTTAGTCTCTCAAGCATCATCACTCAGTATCAGCCACACAGCCACCCAGCCATGCAGTCATGCTTAGAATGTATTTTCTTTGGGAACACTTAGGAATGGAATGTAATATAAATTAAAATCACAATTCTAAAGCTCCAAAATTTAACAGCATGCAAAGCAATACCGACTTGTTGCATGACACAAAATAATTACGAGCTTTGTTGTGAAGAATATAAATGTTCAAATGAATAAGCAGATGCTCGTAGGCAATTACCCTCTCTCTTCAGAGATGAGTCCTAGTTCGACACAAAACTATATCATACATTATTAGTGTCGTAGAGATAAAAATAACACAATAAATAAGCAGGCTATTAGACCTGTGCTCCCTACCCTCACTAACCCACAGTGACCAATGAGGTGAAGTTGGGTCAAATAACCTCCACGACCCACATGGCACGGGGAGGCCCTCATCCAGCAGTGGATGGACAACAGGGCTGTGGATGCACACCTGTGCCGTAACAGGGTGTTATTGGTACCGCCGGGCGTCACGCTTAGGAGCGCACGAACCCCTCTCTTCGTGCCGTGTGTCACGCTGGCAGCGTTTACGGCGATTGCGCCGTCAGGCCGTTGCCGCATAACGCCGTGTGACGATGTTGTAACAGGTTGACGGTGCCGTGCAGGGTCGTGCCGCCCCCTTCTCCGTGCTGCACCTGCCGGGCGCTGCCGACACGTGCGCCCTCGACATGAAGTGGAACCCGGCCGCGCCGTCTGTGGCGGCCGTGTGCCTGTCGGACGGCGGGGCGCACGTGCTGGACGTGTCGGGGCCGCCCTGCATCTCCGCGTCCCTGCCGCCAAGCGCCAGCGTCACCGCCAGTACGACCCCGCCCTCGCGCTTCCCATGAGTCCTCGCTGCCACTGACCCGACGCCACGCAAGAGCAGGCGCCTGGCTTCCTAAAGGATGACAACTATCGACGAATTTTAACAAGCACACATTGGGGATGACGATGACGATGATGGGTTGAGTAAAAACCCGGGCCAGGAATCGAACTGCATTCATCCAACTCTGAGTCTCATGCTGTGACCACAGTGCCGCTGTAATTGGACGAGTTTCCTTACAACTCAAATTACATGAATGCACAAGACACGGTCTTGTTCTCACATATTATTTTCATTTCCTCGTTTGAGGTCAGCTTAATCCATCGTAATCATCTCTCCAGGTTAAATAAACATTACTGCCACAATGTGGGAAGTCTACAGAGCTCATCCTCATGTGTCTTATACAATTTCTTACTGTATCTGTGCTCACCGGAAAACACTTGAGGTGAAGGTTTTTGCCGGTAGTTTTACGTCTGGTTGTACGTGGAGAGACAGACTGGTTGCTGCAATAATGTTGAGGGATCGAGAGCGTAGACACACAAAATCGCACACACAAAGACAAAGGACAAAGATCCCCTGTCTGGCCTTGAACAGACTGTCAGGGCAAGTCCTGTTGGCGAGCGCCTTTGAAGGCAGGTGCGGCACACGAGGGTGTGCCGCATCACTCCCGGCCGCCTTTGTCTCCCCAGTGCTGATGTCTGCACATGCCACGAGGTGGTCATTTAAAGCAGAGTCGACCTAAGGTAGACCCAGACATGGTTCACATTCACTACTGTTATTGGTCATGAGCGGGAATCTAACTCGGGTCGCCAGGTTCATAGTTCAGTGCGCTAACCACTACGCTTGCGCTCCCCGAATCACGCAACAACAATTATAGCCGCCATTCGCCACTAAGTGGCGATGACGTCACTACGGCGCTTGTGCCAGGCTAGGTGCCCTTTGCGGCCGCGTGAAGTGTCGAAGGACTCACTGGCTGGAGGACTCGGGTGCCGTGGGTTGACAGACTGAGATGACTGGCAGATGCACCACCTGTGTTCCCCTATTTGTGCACTCGCACACATACACGTTTGCATCTCCAGTAAGCTTCTTCATGAAGTATCTAATTGAGGTATGCTGTTTGTACCCGTTTGTGCAGTTTGCTGGAGTCCAAAGGGAAAGCAGTTGGTGTGCGGGAAAATAAATGGAACCATGGCTCAGTACACACAGGTAAGTGCGTCTGTGTTTGTGTTGTACTCTGAGGATGTGTTATTATTGTGTGTGGAAATGCGTGTACATTTGTCTTTGTCGGAGTGTGGGCATATGTTTTTGCACGCAGTGGTTAGCGCACTGCTATGAACCCGGTAATCTGAGTTAGTCCGCTCACAACAACATCGGTGACGAATATCTGAGCAGGTCCTGGGCCTCCTCTAGGTGGCCTCTACCTTAAATGAGTAACTGGAGCGGTGTGTAAACACGGCCACTCGGGAAACAAAGGCAGGCCGTGTGTGTTGCTGGCCACCCACCCCCCTCTCGTGTGTCGTGTTGGCCTTAAATGGTGCTCGCTAACAGCACTTGCCCCAACACTGTCCGGGCAACCTGGACATGATGACCATATATTCACATGAGTGGAACATGGTATTTTAAACTGTCCTGGGCCTCACCTGGGCAACTCAACCGTACAGCGAACCGAGTACCCTGTGCGGCGGTGAGCTCGGCCCCGGTACACGTTGGGGTATGAGGGTAATGTTCTCTCTGGCTCCATCACTGTTCACCATTGGTTTATGGCTACGTAGTTTGAGGAGGACCATTCTATGGCTGAAGCTGGGGAATTTCCATCTGGTACAGATTGCCTGGCCAGGTGGCTTCGGTGGAAGTGCGGGCGACTGGTCGACCATGTTACATATGTTGTTGGGCAAGTAGTTGTGATGAGAACGTTGAACGGTTTAATTACGGGTGTTTGAAACCCGTGTACGAATCCAGCATCTCGGCGGTGTTCGCTCTGCGCATCTGAACATAGCCCTCGTGAGCCCTCTGGTTCCACCTGGCCGCCTCCGCGGTTGGTAAGTATCCTCCGTGTGGACGTTGTGTCCGAGTGCAGAGCCTGCAGGAGAAGCGGCAGATTCCCTGCGCCCCCTTTTACGCCGAGGACCCGGTGAGAGGTACGGAAACGCAGTGCGCACACAGTCCCAGGGTGTAGAGTGCCAATGCCGTTCTCGGTAACCTGTCCTCTATCCTGTACACGTGTGCCTTCCTCCCATTGTAATCTCCTCTTGCTGGTTACATCTTCAATACTGTGTTACCACGTTGTATTCCAGTCTTGCCGAATTGTTGACCCTATCCTGCCCCGATGGTTGTCTGCACGGTGTCTTTTTTGTCAACAGGTTGTGTGTATATCGTTTGCGTATCGTGTGTACAGTATAACGTGCCCTTCTACTGTCTACCCTGCTTGTTTACTGTGTAAACTTCAATGAGAGTGTTTCTGCATGTGTACGTGTCTGTTTTCTGTATATACGGTACGTGCGTTTGCGTGTACGTACTTGTTGTGTTTGTATGTGTGCGGAGTAGTGACGTATTCGTTAGCATCCAGCGCTACAAACCCAGAGACCTGAGTTTGATTTACAGCCTTGCCTAACATCATTGGTGAGTGATATCAGAACTGGTCCCCATGCCTCCTCTCGGTCAACGTAGGCCTTAAATGAAGTGCCAATATGTTGTGTAAACATCAGCTCTGTAGTGACCACACCACCTTTTCATGCCCCAGGCCCATCTTTATAGGTTACTCGCTAACAGCCCTTGACCCAATCGTCTTTGTAGGCTATGCCGTGGAACCTTTCTATTTTTTATTTTATGTAAAAGTATAACGATGCATGCGTGTGAGCATTTGTGTTTGGGTTAATACGTAGGCATAATTGCATGCGTCTGTGCGTGCATGCCTCAAAGTCCACCTCGCCTGGCACAAGTACCGTGGTAATGTCATCGCCACTCAGCGGTGAGCGTCTGTTGTTGTTGTCCAGTTTGCGTCCACATGTACAACTGTGTGTGCCTGCTTGGGTGCGTGCAGTGCTAGACGTGTGGTGGGTCAGCACGCACGTGTTTGCGGTCGTGTACGCCGCAGCGGATGGAAGTCTTGACTGTTCACCCCAGCTCGTCCTCATCACGCTGCCGGTGAGGAGTGCCGGGGGGGGGGGTGGACACGGGGGATAGGGGGTGCACCCCTCATCATTACCTGTGAAATAAGGGGCAGACTTAAAGCCAAATCGTGGTAAAGAGATTGCAACAGTAGTCCTTGGATGTAACGCACCCCCCGAAACAACCGCTGCAGTATCTAGCAGAGAGAAGGAAGCAATGGTGAGGTATCAACAATAATGGCCGTGATGATCTCTTGACCTTGGGTTGCGTGCAATGGTGTTGTTGCATTGTATGTGATTGTGTTGTGTTTAATTGTATGGTTTTATCGCTCTGTGTGCGATGACGTGACAGAAGAAAGATGAGAAGACCCAAGAGAAGTTCGTGAACTTCAGCGACCTGTGCTTTGCCCCCAAGTCGGAGCGGCAGCACCGCTACTACCTGCACCACGTTGACGAGTGGTCGGTGCAACACCACACACACGCACAAAAGACAACATACCCCTCATAGCATTAACAGACTGTTGGGGAAAGTGCTGTTAGCGAGTGGTGGGTGGCCAGCACCATGCTCGACCGCCGTTGTCTCCTGAGTGGCAATGTTTACACACCGCACCAGATGCTCATTTGAGACTGAGTCGACCTAGGGGAGGCCCAGGACTGCTTTAGATAATCGTCACTGGTGTTGGCCGTGAACATTAATCAATCTTGTGTCCCTGGGTTCGTAGTGCAGCACGAACCGCGACACTTCCGCTCCCCATGCACACAGAGACAAAAACAAACATCTCCCCACATCTGTATATAGCAGGGGTGGGGAACGTCCGGCCCGCGGGCCGTGTAAGGCCCGCAAAATCATTTAGTCTGGCCCTGCCAAGGCAACCGCAGGCGGGACTCGAAATTCAATAAATCTAGGAGCAAACCTGGAAAAGCAGTTGCGAGTAGCAACATCATCAATACCAGCTAACATCACACGCCTCGCCAAAGAGAAGCAGTTACAGCCATCACATTAGGGTGAGTTAATTAAATGTTTGACCAAATATAACGGGCTATTTTTTAAGTTGATAATTTTGTATGGCCCACGAATGATGTTGTACATATCCAAATGACCCTTGGCAGAAAAAAGGTTCCCCCCCACCTCTGGTATATATCCACCGTGTGAGGCTGGCTCATCTTACAAGTAGCTGCTGTTTACACATCCCAACAAGTACCGATTCAAAGCTGAGTCGACCTAAGAAATGCCGAGGACAGGTGCAGACACTTTTTTTTTTATCTGAGCCTGATCCTTTGCGTGTGCTAACAGACCCTAACATTAACACTAGACAGATGGATGGGCTCAAAGAATATTCCCTGGACATAGCAATAGGTGGTTTGTTCCACACGTGTACGTTTTCTCAGCCACTTGTTGGCTAAGTGGTCTTCTGGGTTGGGCTGCATGTTGGCCATTACCTGTGCAGTCATATTTGTCTGAGCAGGGAAATACTTGGCGTGGTTTTGAAGGATCCCTCGCCCTGTTTGATTGCAGGGACCTCATCGTGGCTGCCTCTTCAGTTTCCACCGACGTTGGGCTCTTGGCAAAGCAGAAAGAAGACCCTGTGAGTTTTCCACTCCCTTATCTTTTGCTCGTTCTATCGTCTGGGTCAAGTGTCTTCCCTTCTGCAGTTGGTGTCGGAGGCTTTAAGCAAAGTAGGGATCTCGGTTTTGCTGTGGAACCCCCATTGGGAGTTGTCCTTTGAGCCTCGGTTGACGCTCTGCTCGCCGTGTTCAGTTGTTTGGGGGAGCTGCTCTGTGGTTATGTTGGGTGGTGGGGTGGTGGTGCAGTGGTAACCCGTCCTCACAGGGGCTTGCCTTGTTTCCACTCAGAGTTTGTATGTTCTCCCCCCCGTTGTTCTGCATGGGCTGCGTTCGGGTTCTCCGGTTTCTGCCCATCGCTATAAAACAACGTTCAGCGACAGCTTTGTTATCCTGCATCAATGGGAAGTGGAGGGTGCCAGTTATTCAAATATGTCGGTTATCTGAGAGTTAACCTTGCGGTTCACCAAATATTCAAAGTAAATAAAACTTAGCAAGAAATAAATTAAGCCTACACTTTAACTATGATATAAGAAATACATAATACAGGTTTTTTTGGGGTTAGATCACGTAAATATATTAATGTGTTGTTAAACCCGCCACCACCCGACACAACCAATTAGTAAGGTTTGTCACGTAAACAGAACGTGGCCAATTCGTTACTAGTACAGCACTAGTGTATAGTGTAGTGTATAGTGTAGTGTATGGTGTACTATACTAGTACAGCACTAGTGTGTAGTGTATAGTGTAATGTAGTGTATAGTGTAGTGTAGTATACTAGTACAGCACTAGTGTGTAGTGTATAGTGTAGTGTATAGTGTACTATACTAGTGCAGCACTAGTGTGTAGTGTATAGTGTACTATACTAACACAGCACTAGTATATAGTGTAGTGTATGGTGTACTATACTAGTACAGCACTAGTGTGTAGTGTATAGTGTAATGTAGTGTATAGTGTAGTGTACTATACTATTGCAGCACACCGGTGTGTTGGAGAGCAAAGCCACAACAATTACAATCCGAGTACAACGTTTCGCCAGTAATTACAACTAGCTTCATCCGCAACAGCCAGATTTGTGAAGCAATAATTCTATAGAAATAATATTTCAGAAATAATTCACTTTTTTACCGAGGTACCTACCATACTCTTAGGTTTTTTCGGTAAAGTCACGTAGGTAAAAATAAAAAATAAAAATAATAGAAATAAAATAAGTGATTTATCGTGATTTATTATTTTATTTCTATTATTATTTCAATAATTTTTATTATTTATTTTTACCTACGTGACTTTACCAAAAAAAGCTAAGAGTATGAATCCTTGCAGCCACGAAAGCTTCAAATCTAAAGGTACCTACTAGTCAGTTGTAGAGCATTCTAAGTTGATTGTAGAGAAGCAGTGGGGCCATTTAGAGTACAGTATACAGTAAAACAGTTCTGTATGTACAGACTGTCGCTATCGCCACCACACTCGGCAGCGTTCTGGAGCTCCCGTAAACAACAACAACAACAACGGATCTACGTGAAGTGCACGGCAAGATGCTGTGGATGGCTGTCAGAATTTTTCTGGATACGTGAACAAGATTTGTATTTTTCGATTTAAAGCTTTCGTGACTGCAGGGATTCATCTTCTTGGTTCTTTCGGTAAAGTCACGTAGAAGGGAAGTGATAAAATAATAAAAATAAAACATAATAAAATCAAATAATTCTCACGACGTTTCGGCTACAACGCAAGCAGCCGTCTTCAGGTGAAGATTTGTATTTCCCTCTATGACAGATGCCGGTTAATGGAGTATTCCGGATGATAAAGTGTCGGATAACAGAGCTTTTGCTGTATAAACGTAACTGATACTGGCAAAAACATCCCAATGTAAAAAACAATAACCTGAAGATGACTCAATTAGAATGACTCGGGGCAGCGACGTTGCTCCCTGCTTTGAGTGACTTGGCAGGACGAGCCTGAACAAAGATATGTTTAGACTCTTTGTGGCTTTCATACGTAAACAAACATTATTAGGATATTCTTGGTTCTTTCGGTAAAGTCACGTAGAAGGGAAATAATAAAATAATATAATTATAAAACAATAAAAATTCTCACGACGTTTCGACTGCAACACAAGCAAAAACCGCCACTTTTTTCAAATTTTCTTGCTGTGGATTTCACACCTGATGACGATTGCTTGTGTTGCAGTCGAAACGTCGTGAGAATTTTTACAGTTTTATATTTTTATTATTTTATTATTTCCCTTCTACGTGGCTTTACCGAAAGAAACAAGAATATGAATCCCTGCAGTCACGAAAGCTTTAAATCAAAACATAATTATGATGTTGTAATTAGGCACCGCACTAATTTACATGATATGTGCACTTCAATTATAGAGATGGCAGTGGGATAAGTGTGTTGTTTGCTTCCGACCCTAATGTGAGATAATGATGGTTGAAACCGTGAGGGAGACAGTTGCGATATCTCTCGATAAGCCAGTGACTGTGAACCTGCTTGTTATATTGAATTTGTGTTTATTTGTGAATTATTTTTACAATTTTAAGTTTTTTCATAACAAATCTGCAAGATTTGTTTCTAAGAGATCGCTGTTTCAATACTTCCTTCCTCAGCAAGTCCTTACTTCAAGTCGTGGAATGTGATAGTCCTGCTTGTAGCATCGTTCGCCTTTCAATATTGGTCCTATACTGTGCTCACTTCGTCTGCAGATGAGCAAACGCTTCTGTTGAAACCGCTGTATCCATTGCAAAGGTTGAGTCGTGCTAGGGAAGGAGGCAAACCAACAAATAAAGCACTCGTGTGTGTGTGTTGGCGAGGATGTGGTAGTGTAATGGTTTAATGCGCTGCACTGTGAACCCGGCAACACGAGTTCGACTCCTGCTGAGAGCCAACGTTGGTGAAATGTATCTGAACCAGTCCTGGGCCTCCTCTCGGTCGATTCGGCTTCTAAGGAGTACCTGGTGCATTTTGTAAACATCGCCACAAGGGAGATGAAGGCAGCCGGGCGTGATGCTGGCCACACAACCCCTCGCATGCCCGTGCTCGCCAACAGCATTTGCCTTCAACAGGTTGTTATGGTCGTAGGGGGGGGGGGGGGGGATCTTAGTCTTTGCGGCGTAACCACCGCTGTGTGTGTGTGTGCTCCAGACGTAACCACCGCTATGTGTGTGTGTGCACGCTCCAGACGCAGTGGGAGACCTGGACCCTGGAGGACTCCAGCCGCGCTGTCTGCCCCGTCAATGAAAACGACGACGACACGCTGCCCATGGGCATGGCCATCGACCGCAGCACCCACATGCTCATCCCCATAGGTGCCCTGCTCATTTGTGTGCCCCCACAGTGGTCCCTTGCCCAGCCCTAGAGGTAGACCTGCCCTACATCGATAGCTGTAACTACATCCTACGCTCATGCGCACCCTTACCAGTACCCCGTGAATACATGCGCATGCCCACTTGCGCCATCTTTATTCTGCACATTTCCACTTGGGCCTGTAAGGCCTACGCTCAGGATAGATCGATAACGATTTACCTCCTCAGGGATCGACAATGTTTATTTATTTCAATATTCAAACTGGAAAATCTCTTGCGATGGAACATCTTGGTTTGCAAGTGGGCCCAGGGTTTTAATTTACACATACAATGATAACGCATAATAGCCTGTTCGCAAACATTTAGAATCTACGAGTTGGCCTGTGGCCACATCTACGACACTAAAGCTTATTGCTGCTGCCTGCTGCACACATTCAATTCGATGCTTTGAGTACCTTAAATCAACAGGGAAGTTAAAAGCTGTGAACTGTTTTGTTATTTTACCAGGCAAGACCCACTGAGCTATGTGGCTCGTTTTCAGAATTGACTGGCCACAAATGATCGCTCATCAAAGTGGATTATCACGAGGAAATCCTCTTAGACGCGCGCGTTTCTAAATGTGGAGGGAAAACCCGGAGAAAAACCCCATGTGACCACGGGGAGAACATCCAAACTCCAAAATACACAGCAGGCGTCCGGGTTGGAATAGAACCCACGACCTCCTGTATACCAGGCAAGGTAGTTAACATCTTGCTATCATGGCCCCCCTGTAGGCCTCACCCCTCTTCTTAGGGTCCTGCCTCTTTCTGTTTAGGCTTTGCCCCTTCCGAGACACATGGTTTGGATTGTTTGGGTCTTAGATTATTATCATGAGAAATAATGTATCCAGTTTGCATTTATACATTGAACATCATAGCCAGTTAAACATATAATTAACTGGTGCACGCCGCCAGTGCGCGTGGAACGTCAAATAGTCATAACAGTTGCACATCCATAATACAGGTTTTTTGGTTTAGATCGCGTAAATGTGTCGTTAAACCCGCCACCACCCGACACAGCCAACTCGTAAGGTTTGTCACGTAAACAGAACATGCCAATTCGTTACGAGTACAGCACACCGGTGTGTTGGAGAGTAAATCCACAACAGTACTAATTACAACTATAGCCAGTATTTACAACTAGCATCAACAGGCGACCGCCAGATGATGCTGTCGGGTGGTGGCGGGTTTAACGACACATTTATATTTACGCAATCTAACCCACAATACCTGTATTATGGATGTTCTTGGTCGCGAAAGCCTACTTGTTAAACAGTTGCACATGTTGTGCGAGTGAGTTTTATTTGGAGATTAGAAACTTGAGAACGGCGGCTTCACATCTGTGTACTCCTGGGTGATTGTTCCATGCTGAAGTGGCTTTGTGTCTGCGTGAGCGTGTGCCAGAATTGTTAGAATTCGGGGATCCGATGCGATTCGATCATCTTTTTTTAATGTTGCGTTGAATGTAGCACCTCTCGTGGTTGCCAGGTTTACGTAAACCAGTTACACAAAACACCCAAAAACACAAGTAATAGATTAATCTGCAATTCTCACGGATCTTAATCGGGTCTTAAATAATAGATGTTAATCATTATGCCGTTACTACTCTGGGTCCCGCTGCCTTCTGCCCTGGCTCCCCACTTTTCAATGAAGGTTTGTTAATCTCTCCCTCAAAGTGCTTTTGTCATTTTGCTGGCTTTGACAATGAAACCTATGGGAGCGATGTCAGCCACATCAACTCGTGTGCCACACTTGGCCACAAATTTAAAGTCTCTTTCTCATCACTGCAGCTTTCAGACTTGCGTGATATTTCCGGCCTAGCGGAGCGTCTACAGGACGGAGTGCTGGCCGCGCGAATTGTCTCGTCTGCCTCGTAAGTCGCCGGTCCCTGCGCGTGTCTGCTGCTCGTGCAGGGGAAGACAAGAGCATCCCAGCGGCACCCATGCTGGTGCTGCTGTCCACGGACGGACTGCTGTGCCCCTTCTACATGCTCAACAAGCAGCCCGGCGCTAAGGCCATCGTGGCGCCGCCGCAAGCCCTGCCCACGCACGGCGAGAGGACGGCGCCGCCCGGTACGCCGCCGTCATCGCGTCTCGGCTCAACCGTTCCAGTGCCTCGACCGTTACAGATGCACGGGCACGCAGAGATGCTTATGCGGGCGCACACAGAGATGCGCATCTTGCATTAGCTTGATATTTTTTATGTATTTTATATACATTTTATCCAGAATTCAGGTTTTTTGGGTTAGATCACGTAAAGATATAAATGTGTTGTTAAACCCGCCACCACCCGACATAGCCAATTAATAAGGTTTGTCACGTAAACGGACATGACAATTCGTTACTAGTACAGCGCACCGGTGTGTTGGAGAGCAAAGCCACAACATTTACAATCTGAGTTCGACGTTTCGCCAGTAATTACAACTAGCTTCATCAGTCGACAACCAGATTGGTGGAGAAATCCTCCTATTTTGTTCCATAAATAGAGGGGTAGAGGTAATGCCATCACTTGTGAGCCCTTCTTGCTCAGATTACTTGAAATCCAGATTGCAAAGTGCTATTCTGTGCACCTCTAGCATTGGTTATTGGATGGAGAGACGATCAGGTAATTAAACTTTAAAACCCAGTGACATCATAGTTGGCTGCAACCTGGCTTCAAGCACTCAAAGTACATATCCTCGGCTGGCTAAATCTGTCTTCAGTATGTTTATTCTAGCTGTCTGTGCGTATCTCGCCTGTGGTGTTGTGGCTCATTGCATCGACTTGGCGTTAACTGCCCATGTAATGATTCCTGCCTTCGTTGGCGATTGTCAAAATGTTGGGGTCCCGAGTCGATGGAAGTATGTATTGTTTTTTTTGGTCATTCTGGACTCGTGGCAGTACGGTGCACAAGACCCGGTTTTATGCAGCACATTCTAATAGAAAAGACTAATCAAATCTTATGCCCGCAAAACACGCTCGTGAGATGTATTGTGGGCATCAGAATTGATATCAGAATCGAGGTATCATTGTGCGGCTGCTGGTTTTTACCCCACCTGCCCACTGCCTCTGACCAATTTGGCAGGAAAACACCCGTTCCTGTCAGCGCTCGACAGATAAGCAGCGTTGATCCTGGATGGTGCTTGGATTTGTGACCACCACGCGTAGAACATCATAGGATGCGGGGCTACACTGAGCAGTCAGAGGTAGTGCAGCAAAGTCCATTGTTGTACTGTATTAGGCTCATGTTTATCCGCTCCGTCTTCACCACCCCGCATTGACCGGCATGGTGAAGTATACTCAAATAACCCCCTCTATTTGCCCTCGAAGAGCCCGCTCCCCGCCAAGTAACTGACGCAGCCTGGCTTTGTGCTCGCCCCGCAGGTGGGGGCCCCGTCGCGCCCCCTGCCGCTCCGAGCTCCACCGCCCAGGGCCCGCCTCCCCTCACCGCCGCCGTGGCCCCCACCCTGAAACCCGCGGCGGCGCCGACGGCTTCCGTTCGCGCCTGGCCCGCGGCGGCGGCGCCCGGCGCGGGACCGTCATCTCCCCCCGGCGTCAGGTAACGGGGGCGCTTGTGCCGCCGGCGCAGTGTTCACTGTGCGGTCAGATCGCCGTTGCTTAGCGTGAACGGGTGGGTTACTTGATGCCATGACGCGGTACGTTGCGTGGACTGCGTCGCGTACGCAACTTGTGTGACGTCGCATTCTCGCCACCGCGTATACAACATCGCGTATCCAATGCTATTACAAATGGAACGCACGCCATGCACAACACACTGCGCTGGGTGTGGATGGTTAATTGGTCAGGGTGCATATGCGACCTCGTACTATACTGCAGTTTTCGAAATTTTAGAATTCAAGGAACTATTAAAGGGGGTGGCGGCGACGGTACCTGCTTGGGTTAACGTTAGAGCTGTGCTGTTCGTTATTTAAGTCTCGCAGCCGTTTCCACGCGTGCCACTGGATGGAATGTGATGAACAGGGCTTTGTGACGTCATTGGCATCATCCACCAATGTCTCAGGGAAATTAATACTCCCCCACTCCCGTTTACAGCTGGGAGACGCCTTGACATTTACTTGTAAATCCCAATTTCAGGAATGACGGGGATAACGTTCGGTTACTTATGGAGCCTCGGCGGTTAATCGGTGATCGGAGCCCGACCACTTTCCACGCGTCACCACGCTGCGAATGGTGCAAGGGAAACGCGCTGCCCACCGCAATCCCATGTGCGGTCTGCCTTCCAGGTTCTCCTTCAGCCCCAGCCCGAGTCTGCCGGCTCCACTCGCCACATCGAAGGCCGCGACGTCCATGCCCGCGGAGCCCCTGCGGCAGGTTCCGGCCCTGGCACAGGTGACGCAGTCCCGGCCGGTACTTTGAAGAGGGTGCCCATATTTTAGAATCAGATTATGTACACTGGAGAAATCCGATGAGCTATGAAGCTCTTTTTCACAGCTGTCTAGTAGGGGTGGGTGAAAACGTTGCAACAACAAACAGTACAAACACGATGGGAGTGCAGAGTATATGGAAGGTAAACAAATCGATGAAAAAATCTACACAAATCAAACTAAACTATTTTTATCTTAGCAGGTAAGGCCCACTATTATCTTTCACAAGCGACCTGGCCACAAATGATAGCTCAACGAAGTGGCTTATTACGTGGAAATTTATAGCAGCAAAATAATCTGAGTTAGGTTAACTGACACGGGTGTAAACTTGAGCAACAATAATATTAAAAATCGAATCTGCACTAAAAGGTGTCCTTATACATTCTGTATATGGGGATGCGTTCCCTACAGCGTTATTTCTTACGTATGAGCAATATATGAGGGCATCATGTTTGATATTGGTAATACCGCTAATAATAATAATACAGATGGTAAACAACCCCCGCTTCGACCCGCCTTACCACTTGGTTATATTTCCAGAACTAATAGTTGCAGGAATTTTTCCTGACATTATAGATCTACAATGCTCGTAAAAACACGCGACGACAAGGCGCACCGAGACCAAGGAAGAGTAAACACACGTTGGTTCTTGTTTTTAACTGGCAAGCTCTGCGTACTGTAATAATATTGAATAACAAATACTGGAATAACATTGGAAAAGAGAAAAAACAAAAATCGATTTTGTAAAATGTAATCGTGCATCGTGAAAATCAAATCGCCGGTGTTGGAGTGGAAACAACGATGCGTCTCCTCGGCACTGCGTGTTCTCACTTGGAAGCGATCTTCAGAATTTCTGACTTTCTTAATTTTTTGAGTAAAAAGTTTCTCGAGGACGAAGAACGCTATAACGAATCAACCTTCTACGGGGTCGCGCTATCCGAGGTCGGCCTGTGTAAACGTTTTCTCAAGCGTAGATATTGTGGGGCCTCCTCGGCTGTGTGGCTGTTCGATGGCGTGCCACCGCCGTTAAATGTTGGCGTTGGCGGCGTCCGCGTTGCTGCGCGTGTGAACGGCAGGCGCAGGCGGCGTCGGCGATGGGGAACTTCACTTTGGGACAGATGCTCGCGCAGCCGAGCGCAGCCATGAACTCGGAGGGGCCCAGCCTCTTCTCGACGCTCGCAGCTTCCCCGCTGACAGGTAAGCCTTCAGAAGGCCCCGCGGTATTTAACGTTTTATCGAGATTGAAAACTGATTTCTTTAGAACTGAATTTTGTGTCTAGTTTGTTGTCCTTCCCCCCGCACCTCCGATTAGCACCGTTGGCTATGTTCGAGCTACATACTTACATCCTTGTCACCGTCAGTGTTGCTATGATTATTGGCAATTTAATTTTACCATCATCACTGTCGAAAGAAGAAGATCACTGTCGTATCATCATCGCCATGGTAATTTTCAGGATTTTCATGATCGGTGTGTAGATTTTGATTGTCATTGTCTTCCATTATTTCATGAGCATGGTTGTAATACTTCTCGTAATCATCATCATCATCCTCATTGTCATAATTAACACTCTCCCTCTATTCATTGTTATTGTTGTCATGTCATAATTTTCATCATTATCATCATCACCACATTGTTCATCATCTCAGCAGTGTGAAGAGCTTTGCTGCCATCTGTTACATTCGTTAACTTCGGGTTTTCTCATGCAAATATTTGTATTCCTTGAAGTTTTATGATTGACCAATGAAGGTGACTGTCCGATGACATCCGAAGGTTGTTCATGTCTCACTGAGCTCGCATTTGTCAGTGCTTTCTCATTCGTGTAAGATTGAAAAGCTTGCATGCAAACACACATGCACATAGATACATACTGACAGCACATATTACACACGCATTGATAACGTACTGTAGTATGTGGCCTGGTTGCTCAGATGCCTGGATGTCTTATGTGCATTCCCTCTTTTAGTTTTATGGTCAACTCCTTAGCTGCTCTGAGCAGTAGTGTAGCGGTTAGCGCGCTGCGCTACGAACTTGGTGATCCGGGTTCGATTCCCGCTCACGGCCAACACCAGTGACGATTATTTGAATCGGTCCTGGGCCTCCCCTAGGTCGACTCAGCCTAAAATGAGTACCCGGTGTGGTGTGTAAACATCGCTACTAGGGAGACGAAGGCGGCCGGGCGTGGTGCTGGCCACCCACCCCCTCGTGTGCCGTGCCGGCCTTCATAGGTACTCGCTAACAGCACTTGCCCCAACAGTCTGTTAAGGTACTCTTAGTTCTTTCGGTAAAGTCACGTAGGTAAAAAATGATTGTGTTCTTCGGATATTTGTCACAGGTGGATTTTCCATGAGGTTCCCCGGGGCGCAGAGCCAAAGTCCAGCGACGCGGCCGATCAGCAGGCCTCCCGCCACCTCCTTTGCCACGGCCGGGCAGCCGCTACCCAGGGCTGCTCCGCCAAGCACCACAGCTTCACAGCCACCCGCGGTACTCCTTCAATCTCTCAACAAACGGCACAACCCAAGCACGCACACATAGCTACTGCGTTGTAGCTATGATAAACAAACAAGGATTTGTTTCGTCATCGTCAAAAGGCATGTCCGACAACTTTGCTGAGCGGCATTTGTTCAATTGGACAAAGCCTGGACTGGCTGTGACTTTACGAGCCGCTTCGGAAAGATCTTCCCTGATAATTGCTGTTGCCTGGATGTTTTAAGAATGACCCCTCCGCAAGTCACCAGCACAGCGGATAATTTTTTAATATAATGTAAAGCTCCATTATCCAGCATCCATTGGGAATCAGTTAATCAAATATGCCAGTTATTTGAGAATTATACTTATGGTTCACCACATTTTACAAGTACTATTCAAGAAATATACTTAAGCCTACATTTTAATTATGATATAAGAAGTAATAATGCCCTGAGACCGATTGTTTAAGGGCACTTTATTAATTTAAATTATTATACTATCGGACGTACACCACCACGGAGATGGAGCGGTGAAATCGGCTGGTGTGCAGGAGTGAGACTGATTGTTACGTCATGGGACCATGATGGGTGACTCCCGCTTGGGGGAAATCCTCCATCCGGCAGTGAGATAGATCATGGCTGACGATGATGATGACGATGATGATGGTGACGATGATGATGGTGATGATGACGATGGTGACGGTGATGACGACGATGATGACGATGATGACGATGATGATGGTGATGACGACGATGGTGACGATGACGACGATGGTGACGATGACAACGATGGTGACGATGGTGATGCTGGTGATGGTGACGATGACGTCGATGACGGTGACGATGACGTCGATGACTGTGACGATGACGTCGATGACGGTGACGGTGATGGTGATGATGACGATGGTGACTGTGATGATGACGATGGTGACGGTGACGATGGTGACGGTGATGTTACAGAACACCGGCAGCCCCGTCACCCCGGCACGCCACGCTGGACCCTCTGCGGCAGTGACGGCCATGAAGCCGACTCCACAGCGATCCTCGGACCCTTACTCCGTGGGCATCTCTGAGGAGGTGAGTCCGGCTTCATCCATATTATGTAGGTTTTGCCAGCTCTGGTGCTGCTGTGGTGCCACGCCTGGTTTACAGGAGGTCGTGGGTTCAATTCCGACCCTGACGCCTGTTGTATATTTGAAGTTTGCGTGTCTCTCTTCCCGTGAATTTTTCTCTGGGTTCCTCTGGTTTTTCCCTCCACATTTAGAATCAACACACAGTTACAGAGTATTTGGCTGCTATAAATTTCCATATCATGAGCCACTGTTTTTGAGCTATCATTTGTGGCCAGGTCACTTCTAAAAAAGAGCTGTATAGCGCAGTGGGCCTTACCTGGTAAAATAAAAAATAGTTTAGTTTAGATTTTGCTCAGGCCTATGGAATAAAGGGAACGTGGACTTTCCACCACTGGGTCGGGGTGACCAGCGGGGATGTCGCTCACGCGGGATGACGCGGCCTCTCCTTGCCCCAGGTGTCTCACTTCCAGCGGGAGCTCGACACCCTGAAGCTCCGCTGGGCGGAGGACGACTTCTCGGTGGGCACGAACGAGGAGCTGTCCCGCATGTCACACGAAACGCAGGGCCTACGGGTCTACCTGGAGCAAATCAAGGCCAAGACTTTGGTGAGTAGGCCTCGAAGGGCCCCGGGCTCCATGCCGAGTGTATAGCGTTTTGATAAGAGATTCCTACTTGAAACCTGATTCCCACCACCACTCATCTCAAAAGAATTCTCTCATCAAAACGCTATACCACAGAGCTCATGGCATTTCTGACCAACACCATCTGGCCAGTGAATTAAGACATGTACATCGGGCCCTCAGGATGAACGGATACTCTGACCGCACCATCCGACAAGCTGTTTCTCCCACCATACAGAAACAGCCACATGAAACTCCGATCAAAACTATCACGTTGCCATACATAGCAGGCGTGATCAAAAAGATCTCCAAAATTCTAAACAAACATAAGATCCAAGTCCGATTCAGTACAGTGCATAAAATCCTTGATCTGATTCCTTCTGTGAAGGATGTCGTTCCTGACTTACAGTACCCTGGAGTCTACAAACTGAGTTGCAGTTGTGGTGATTGCTACATTGGAGAAACGAAACGTCATGTTTCTGATCGTGTCCGCGAGCACAAGTCAGATCTGAAACACGGCAGAACTGATTCTTCCGCCGTTGGCGATCATTGCTACAACGCTGTGGGCTCTCATGAAATTGTCTTTTCTGAGACCAAGGTGCTCTGCAAACCTCCTGGCTACAAACACAGACATAATTTCCACCATGATGATGGGTACAAACGGAGTAATCATTGGAAAGATGTTATTAACCATGCAAAAAAGATTTAACTACGCATATTTGGACCATCTTATTTGACAGACAACTGTTCTTTAGTTACTGTACAGTTTACTGATAGACAGCTAGTTTTGTTTTATCATGTTTAGCTTTTTTTTTCACACGCTGGTTTCCTGCTTTAAGTTTTACCCACCAAGCAACGGAGCAGGAGGCTGTTTCTTCCTGACCTGCTTTTTTTTGCTTTTACCATCTACATGGCAGGGGCTCGGTCCCATTATCAGCAGCCGCACTTTAACAACTCTGGCCGTAGCTTCAGCCGCACCAACCTTACCATAATAATAAAAAACTCCTATCCAGGGGCCTCTCCTGGCTCCTCCCCCCTCAACCAGTATATATACGGGGTCGGATCTCTTGGAATTTCTCATTTACTTGATACAGAGAGCGTGCTGTGACGGTTCCACCTGAAGACGGAGGCTTGTGTTGCCTCTGAAACGTCGTGATTTTTATTTTATTTTTATTTCACCAGTCACCTGTCACTTTCCCACACGTGAGGCCCCGTCTGCCCCAGTGACTTCCCTTCATAAACGTTCATTCTGCCCGTCGCACCTGGGTCTGGACCGTAGCATCCCGTTGGTCAGCGAGACACTAGCATCACCGCTCGTTATCGCACCATCTCTCCACCCTTTCATCCATTCGGTGCAGGTTTGTCCGCCTCCACACACGTGACATTAATGTGTGCGTGTAGCGGTGGCACAGTGGTAAGTGCACTGTGCTCTGAAGCCGGTGATCCGAGTTTTATTCCCACTAGCGGGCCCTTCCCTCGGTTGAGTAACTGGTGCAGTGTGTAATCATCAGCACTGGGGAGACAAAGGCAGCCCCCTGCCGCTCGCCCTACGCCCGCCGTGTTTCGCCACACCCCTGGGTGTCGTGCCGCCCCCCCCCCCCGCTGCGAATAGGTGCAGCACACGGATGGGAGCAGGCTGCAGACAGAGGTGCTGCAGGGCTTTGCGGAGCTGGAGGAGGCGCGTTCTTGCCTGGAGCGCCGCCGCGACCCCGCTTACCAGCAGCTGCTGCGCCAGAGAAGCCTTCACCCTGCCAGCCAAAAGCAACTCGAGGTGCTGCCCCAGCTGCCCTCGTTGCTGCCATCCCGCTGCCCACAATTACTTGCCACGGTGGCAAGATGTTAATTACCTCTCCCGGTGTGCAGGAGGTCGTGGGTTTGATTCTGACCCTGACGCGTGTGTATTTGGCATCAGCATGTTCTCCCCGTGATCGTGTGGATGTTTCTCTGGGTCCTCCGGTGTGTCCCGCTACATTTAGAATCATGGTGCGTTTAGGGTATTTAGCTGTTATACATTTCCACATGATGCATCATTTGTGGCCAGCTCGCTTCTGAAAAAGCTATTTAGCGCAGTAGGCCTTACCTCGTAAAATAAAAAAATTGTTTTTTGTTTAACTCGTTTTTTACGTTTTGTTGCCCTATCATTAGTGCCGCTGTGTCTGTCCTTCCTGCCTTGCCGCCTGTGCTGCCCTCTGTTGTGCCCACTTCCCACATTGCCCTTCCAGCTGTCACTTCTGCTCTCCCGAATGCCCTCCCAGCTCTCCCTTATGTGGCCTATGATCTAGTGCTGCGAAGGCGATATCGTTGGTGGATCACACGAGCTGTGAAACTCCCTTCCCATGGGCGTCTCGTTGCCAATTCCATGGCTTGGCACGGAGAAGGCAGTACAGCAAATGTGGAACTCGCCTCTTTTGTCTTTACGGGATACTGTTGCCCCCTGGGACATTGCCACGTTCCCCCAGGGGTCCGTGTACCCCCAGTTGAGAACCATTGTGTACCCGCTGTGTGCTAACATGCTGACTGTTGCTTGTTCGCATGGCCCATTCCCACGTGTATCCATGTGACTACTGAGATAGGGTTCGTTTTGACTCGCTGATCATCCAGACTCAACCTCTCCTTAACATGCGCGACGTTGGCTAAAGCTTGACTTTAACTCCTTAACGTTTGTCTCCCCCCCCCCCCCCTTCCCCAATAGGAGATCCGCCGGTTGCATCGGTACGTCACCTTCGCCATACAGGACATCAACAACATCCTCGATTTCCAGTGGGATTCCTTCTTGCAAGGGCAGAAGCAGCAGAAGTGAGTAGTTGTCCCTATGTTTGCACTGCACAACCGAGCCGCGCCGGGGCCATCTCCGAGTCAGCCCGGCACAGCTCAGTCGGGAGGCGCCGGTGGTGTTTTTCCACTGCCGCTGACGTGGCACGCAATGAACGGGCCGAATAGCCCTGGCCCTGCTTGGCCCCGAGCCAGATTCACATGTTGTCTGAAGCCACATTCACAATTTTTTTTTCTGGCTCGGCCCAGAAAATAGCCAAGTGGCAAACCGCCCGATGCTGGCTTGGTTCGGATGTACCGGTCCAAAAGGGGAATTAGTTCCCTAGGTCTGCACTATGGCTACAACTCTGATGATGATGATGTCCTTTATCCAAGAGAGCTCCATACACGCGCTGAATAACACATTATCACAAAAGGCAGCTCGTGGCAAAATTAGTATCGATAGGCCCATATAGCCAGACCAAGGGTCCTTCAAGGTATTTTAGGTTCTGTGTTGATGCCCAACACTCGTAGAGGGTCCCTAAAGATTCTTGGCATTCTTTGTAAATGCTCGAGGCTCACGTAGCCAGAATAAGGCAACTCGGATTCTTACGTCTCTGGAGTTGATCTTTCCTGAAACACAAATTAACTAAGCATCCTTACGACTCGGACATAGGCACCAACCCCTGCAATTTAATTCCGTTTATACTCCGATAAATTGCTCCATCATGTTGCACCTCCAGATGTTTTGCATGGGGAAGCACAGTTTAAATAACATGATGATAATAATGATGGTACCACGATGATGCCCAGCTCGCCCTCGATGAACCTCGCCGCTCGTTTCCCCGTGTGCGCGCAGGAAGCTGATGGTCCCGGAACGCGAGGGCCTTTACCGTTGCCTGGCGAACAACCGCATGCTCCTGATGGACTACCTGAGCACCGTGAACAGCCTCTGCCAGCAGCTGCAAACCGTGCGGGCGCGCAAGCCGCTCTCCACGTGGGGTCGCGGCGGCGCCGTGCCCAGCCCGGCCAGGCAGGCTTTGCCCAGGTGAGATGATTGCACCAGCTGTGATATACTAGGTAGCAGTGTAGAAGCAGGAGTAGTGAGATGGAATAGTGGCAGAATCGGCTGGATTTCGTAGCAGTAGCAGTGGTCGTAACAGCAACGATTGCAATGGAGGTAGCAGTGCGAGGATTAGTAGTTGGAGTAGCCGTAGTAGCAATCGTAGCAACGGTGGTGGACGTAATAGAAGTTTTTCTCTGTGCTACCAAGTCAACACCTCGATTCATAGTGCCTGTCACGAATGGCTGTGGATGCTGCCAAGGACTTATATATCCAATCTCTACTTACCAATGAGAACCTCTGGATGTAAGAAGCTCAGGATACCTACTTCTGTAGGCCTGGGTTCAAAAACCAAAGTAACTGGTGGTCACAAACTATTTTTTCTTTTTTAACTTTAGGTATTTCTGTGATGTGAATAGATGAGATCCATCATAAAGGTTATTTTGGGTTAGATCACTTAGATTTCAATGTGTCGTTTAGCCATCACCACCCGACACAGCCCATTAGTAAGCTTTCTCACGTGAACAAAACGTGCCAATTAGTTACTGCTTCAGCACACCGCTTGTGTGTTGGAGAGTAAACCCACAACGTTCGCAATTTGAGTGATGTTTTGCTGGTGATTACAACCAGCTTTATCAGGTGATTTACCACAATTCTGGCAAATGGCCTGATATAGTTGCTTGTAATTGGCAGTCTCAGATGGTGGTGGGTTCACGAAACATGAATACTTATGCGATCTAACCCAAAAAAAACTTTATTATCAATTATATTGGTCTCGAATTGCATTGATGAGACTTTACTTGGACCAACAATTCAGCTGCAACATCTTTGGAATGTACATCACCCACTCGCTCACCATCTCACTCGCTCACAATCGGCTATATACATCAGACATGCTCAGGAGGCAGCGTGTGAGTTAGGATGGCTGGGGAATTGTTTGGCAGTGTCAGATTTGTTTTATTGAACCCTGTTCAAAAATCGCAGCAGAGAACGCGCGTACATGTCAGAAGGTTAATTCTAGATTTGAAGCGTTCGTGACTGCAATCATTCATATCTTAGGTTTTTTCGGTAAAGTCATGTAGGTAAAAAAAATATATAATAATTATAAAATAATAATAAATGAAAAATTTATAAATTAAATTGCGACGTTTCGGAGGCAACACAAGTCTCCGTCTTCAGGTGGGACCGTCACAGCTACATTTACTGTATCAGACAATATCTTAAATACTGGTTAAGGGGAGGGGGGAGGAGCTTATCTAAATGTGGCAGTCAGGGACTGGGAGGGTGAGGGGGGGGCTAGAAGGGAAGGTGCAGCTGATACACCTCCACAGGGATTTCGGCCGATGTTGGCTTCCAAAACCAAACAATAGCAGCACTGTTAAACGCGGTGGATGTCAACAACTCGGTAAAATAGTCAAATAAGATGGTACAAATATGCGATATGTCCAGGCTAATGTGCGCCCCAAACCGATCGCTGCCATTGTGTGCGCTCACAGCTGGGAGGATGACTTGAGGGCCTTGCGGGATGCGCTCAGCAGCACCCACATACAGTCGCCATCCGTGGCCCCCGGTAAGTACTCGGTTAAGGCGAGCACCGGTGCAGTTCCTCAACACATCCAACCTCGCCGTGTGCTCGCCCTCGCCTGCCTTTAACATCCCACCTTGAGCGACTTCCCTTCCCGTCTACCCCACTCCAGCAACCGTGGCCTCCTGTCAACACCTCCCATCACTGAGGGTGGAAGTGTGTGCTCTGCTTGCCAGGGTCTCTCACTGTCTGTGTCCTTGTCTCTCCATCTCTTGTGTCTCTGTTGGTTTAGCTTTCTTTCCGTGTCGCTCTATCTCTGTCACCTGCTATTGATGTCTCTGCCTGTCCCTATGTGCCTGTCTCTTTCTCAATGCTACCCGTCTCTGTACGTACCTTGGTATCTGCCCCTCCACCTCTGTCTCTTACCATCCTCACCAATTTCACGATCCTCCTATGGACTCACCGCCATCTACTTCTTCTCTCTCATATAGCACAGCTACCCTCTCCCTGTCCTTCATGTAAGCAACCAAGGCATTTAGCAAAAACCCGCAATCAACTTCCTTCTTTGCTGCCCCCGCAGTGTTGAACTACACCAGCCTTTGGTCGTGCGCATCTCTGACTTGTTGCACGGTGGAAGTCCAGGCTAGGAGGCCTTCCTCTTTTCCACCTGTAGCTGAAGTCACTTGACAAACATCGCCTGAACTTTTCCACGCGTTGGTGTCATTTTTTTCTGCTGCTGCTGCTTGTCCTCCAAGCCTCCTGCCCCCACCCCTCATCAACTCTCTTTCGTTACAAATCTCGAGTGTCGCCGTGAGAGTGAAGCGGCTCGCTTGGGGCTCACGCCCACCAACACCCTGCCTTGTCCCCCCCCCCCCTTCCGTGGACCTCTTAGGCGCCAGCTTCTCGGTCGCGCGTGTGGCGCAGCTGCGCAACTTCCTGAGCAAGAGAACGACCATCGTCGTCAGGTCGACTGCACCAGGTCAGTCGGTCAGGTCCGGTGCTCGATCGGGGAGCGGACGTCTATGAGGTTCACCTTGCGTTTCGCAAGGGAGGTGTCTTACTGTGTTGAATAGTGGTTTCTGGCCAATATCCACAGCGGCGGTGCGGGGGCTATTGTGGCCTGACACATCAGCAGAGGAAGTGGTAGTTGCAACAACACTATAAACATTCCTGGCCCCAGCAGAAGTACTAGTAGTAGCAACTTTTAGTATCATCATTAGTCACAGCGGTAGCAGGAGTAATCGCAGTAATAGTAGCAGCAGAAATATTAGTTGCAGCAATAATAGCATGAGCAATAGCGTTCGTACTAGCAACAGTAGCAGTATATACTGTAATAGTAGCAGTAGTTCCAGGAGCAATATAAGTAGCCTACGGAGTAATTTTAGCAGTACCTGCAGTAGAAGTATCATGTAGCAGCAGTTGTCTGGAGCTTCTGGTTTTGAGTACAGATGCATGCGGAGGTTGCTGGAAAATGTTTTAATGTACAAGGCAAACAACTTTAAGTGGAGTACAGGATGTTGGAGGAAAATGTTGTAGACGTTGCCAGGAAAAGGGGGTGAAGGTGGGTGTCGTACGTGTGTGGAATGGAGGTGGCCGGGTGCCTGAGACAGACTTTACAGTATCATCCAAGAGTTGGTAATCATCAACGAAAATGCCTAAAACCAGGCGGTGATGCTTGGTGGTTGTGTGCGAACTATGCAATAACAGCTGTGAGATTTGGCAGAAGGAGCCGATGGCAAAAATTTGGTGGCATCGATGGTGCTGGTCACGATGACCTTTCGACCTAAGTTGACTCAGCCGTGCGCGTACCTCTGCTGGACACAATTGACCATTAAGCACTTGTGCCTTCTCTGTGCGCCCCCCTACCCCACACGCACCCCTTCCCCGCCCCCCTCGCCCCACCACCTTCCGAACAGCCAACTTGTCAGGCTCGGCCTTCCTGTCGACGCGCCGCACCCAGGACCTGGACGCAGCCAGCTCCGTGTCGTCAGTGGTGTGCCGGCCCTGCCTGGACGAGCTTGACGTGGAGCAATTCGACGACGACGATGACGACGACGACGACGACGGGGAGGAATACGACGAAAACGACGACGACGGCGAGGACTCCGAATATGACGAGCAGATCTCTCGCGTCCGACCGTCGTTCCAAGCACCGCCGCCCCCTTCTGCCGCGCACCAGCCTCCCCCTCTCACCCAGCACGCACCGCTGCAGCGTACGGCGTCTGTGGCGCCGGCACGGGTGCCAGGTCTACCCGGCGCGAAGGGCGGCGGCGGCGGTGTCGCCACTGCTCCGAGCGCCACGCTCAAGTACGGCGCGCCGGGCATCGTGGGTGGCGAAGGATCCCACGAAATGCCAACCTTCGTGAACTCCAACAAGCCGGCCTCATCCGCCGCCCCTCCCTCGGGCCAAGGCCTCGGAGTCGGAATTCTGCTGCCCAGGCAGGCGGCGGCGGCCGCTGCCATCAGCCGCAATGCGGCCAGCAAGCCGGCGGGTGAGATGTGCCGAGCGAGTCACATGACTACGTTTCGTCCAGCCTGCAGCCACTTGAAGCCGAGCCAGTTTTAAACGTTCCACAATAAAATTGTTATCGTCCACTGCGAGCATATTCTTTGGTTCTTTCGGTAAAGTCACGTCGATAGAAAAATAAAAATAAAGTGAATAAAAAATAGAAGGAAAGAATATTAATTCCTGCAGTCATGAAAGTTTTAAGTCCAAATTCACTGCGAGCATGTTGACTGCACTTAAGGGTGTTACTAGAGAGGAATAGTTTCCACCTGGGAATGTTTGTTGCATGTGTTTCTCATTTCAGATTACATTCAGTTACTCCTGTCACTGCAAGTGCCTCATCAAATTAATTTTTTAAAGAATGTATTCGTCAGTTGCGCTCGTCGTCCATAGAAGCCTGTTGCACCTGTATTTGCGGGCTACGCCTCGGTTTCCCCGTAGTGTTTGCGAGCGCATGCGTCTATGTGCGTGTGTGAACGTGCGGTTCATGCGTTTTGTGTTTGTCTCTCAGTGACAAGCGCTCCGCTGACGGAGTCTACACTCAAGAACGTCCCGAAGGTGGTGAACGTCATGGACCTCTCGGTAATCCCTGCCGCTCTCGCTCCCAACGCCCCGAGGGTCGCCGCTGCGTTTGCTCCCACCCCTCCACCATCCTGTCCAGAATAGCAAATTCTATTTACTATTCATTTAATTCGATTGATTTCCATTCCGTAATTCTCCGCGTCTTTGGTTTCTTCCATCGAGTGACGTAATCTAAAAGATTGCCGTCGCAATTCTTTGGGGAGACCTTCATCCAGCAATAGATAGACCAGAACCGCCGATTCACTCCGCAAATCCTCATTGTTTGCAAGGGGATAGGGCCGCCATCATTACGGGTTTCAAATCCCCCCTCCGTGCACAGCTCCTAAAGAAACACGGGGTCACGGGGCTGCCACCTCACGGGCAGAGGAGGAGAGGGAGTGGACGCTGGCGTTGACGTAGTGTCACTCAAAGGCGGCATGCCTGAAAGTCGTGTGCCTGTGACTTTTTAAACCATTATATAAACCATTATTTATACCATTAATGAAGCTTCAATCTCAAGTCGGAGCCTGGGATGACCGACTCTCTTGTAAATGTATAGAACAGCTTCCCTGTGTGTTTTGGTGTCTTTTCCATGGTACATGTAATTATGTTGCCCAGCGCTACTCATGTATAACATCTCAAAGTAGTACTTTTCAATACTCTTTAAGCAGAGGATGTTGTGGTGTGCATTCTCTGGTTGTTTGAGGCATTGATCGATGTCTTTGATTTTTTTGGCAGACATTTGGAGCGAAACCTACAACTAACGTGGTCACCAGCACAGGTAAAGTGTTTCGCAAGTCTTCCGCAGAACACCCGCAGATCAGCGGCACCGCGGTTAGGTTCAAATCCCAGTCCCGTGCTGGAGTGGGGAAGGGGGCGAGGAGGTCCGTCGTGGTCGGCACCGTGGGAATGTAGAATTTCCATCGACGCTGGCTCTGCACCGTTGGTGGAGGCTGGCGTCACGGCACGCTGGATGGCCCACATTGACGCCTTGCGTTAGATCGACGAGTACACGGCCATGTGCAACGTATATACACGTTGCACACGATCGTGGGAACATCCCACAAAGTTGTTCCAATCATCACAGGGCATATTTGTGCGTGGCGCGCATGCAGCAGACGTGTAGGTTAACTTCAGATTGATGGCGTGTTTTCCATTAAGTCATTTAGGACTCATTTGCAAGTCTTATTTTGCCTGAGGCCCATTGAGCGAATTAGATATTTTTCAACGGTGATCCAGCCAAAGTGGCAATCATGTTACATGGGAAGGAATGGTTTTCAGGGCTTCAGGTGGGACGCCACGGTGGCGAGATGTTAAATACTTCGCCTGGTATACAGGAGGTCGTGAGTTCTATCCTGACCCTGACGCCTGCTGTATATTTGGAGTTTGCATGTTCTCCCCGTGGTCGTGTGGATATTTCTCTGTGTCCTCCGTTTTTTCCCTCCACATTTAGAATCAAAATGCTTTTAGAGTATTTGGCTGATATAAATGTCCACGTGATAAGGCACTTCGTTTAGCTATCACTTGTCACCAGATCGCTTCTGAAAAGGAGCTGTGTAGCTCGGTTATCCTTACCTGGTAAGATAAAACATTGTTTAAATCGTTTAGTTTCACAGAGTAAAGCGGGTCAATTTTATACACATGGACAATAAAGAGCCATCACCATGTACAATATAAATCTAGTAATCTGAACTAATGCATGGCACTTGGCCATGTGTGCTGGGTACGTCTGCCTGTTCCAACACGTCTGGTCAGTGTGGAAGAGTTGGCCAATAATGTTCTCGAGAGGAGCTCTCCGGAGTTCCCTCTGTGTGAGGCACTTCCACGTGCAGTGGTACGGGAAAAAAGACGGCAAGGCTGGACCTTCACCAATACCGTCAGCAGGGTGGCAGGTTGTTGCACATACGTATGTTGAACTTCTGCCAGTCGCTTTCGCGTTGCGTCTCCCCTCAACCCGTTCTGCCGTCTGCCGCCACAGTTCCCGCCAACAAGACCGTGGCCCCCAAACCCAGCGGCGGCGTCGGCGGCTCCAGCACCGCCGCGTTCTCCTTCGCGTCCCACTCGGCCTTCTCCGGGGGAAGCCCCTTCTCGTTCTCCACCGCCTCTGATGGCGCCGCGCCCACGGGGGGCAAGACGGCGACGACGGCGCCTTCGACGGAGGCCGCTGCCCCGCCGCAGCCTTCGTCGCAGGCCCCAGGAAGGGCCCCGGGTGGCGACGCCTCCTTCGGGCAGTTCTTCGACATCCTGAAGACGGCGAACTGGAACCCTGGCGAGCCCGGCAAGACGCACCCCGGGGCTCCCTTCTCCCTGGCGTCGGCGAGCAACGGACGTTCGCTCTTTGGCCAGCCGGCGCCCACCACGACCGCCACCACCACGGCTGCCAACGCCGCCAGTGCTGGAAAAGCCGCGGCGTTCTCCTTCAGTCTGCCGGTGACCACCGCCGCCCCCACCCCCACCGGCGCTGCCGTGGCTGCCACGCAGGGGCCTTCCCTTCCGTCCGCTTCAGCAGCTGTCGCACCGCCGCCACCGCCGCCAAACACTCTTTTAGTTGGTGACACGTCGCCACAAACTGTTCCTGTGGCTAGCAAAGCGCCAGTGTCATCGGCCGTGCCCGTGCCGTCGAGTGCCGGCGATGCCGCCCCGGCGTCGTCATTCGTCACAACCGCGGTCACCGCCGCCGCGGTCACCGCCGCTGCTGCCGAGGAGCCTCCCTCTGCCGCCCTGGTTCCCAGCGCGATGCCCGGGGCTGAGACACCGTCTCAACCGCCGCCAGCTCGCGCGCCGCAGCAGGAGACGCAGGATCCGGCGGGGGTGGCTGTGGTCGGTAGCGAGCGGCCGACGGCGGCCATGACGGCGCAGGTGTTTAGTTTTTGTATGCCCCCGGCATCCGCTTCCACCCCGGCCCCCGGCACGGTGGCTCAGCCCACGGCGACCAGCGCCGTCGCACCGGAAGCGCCTTCGGCCGCGCCAGCGCCGGCAGGAACGGCGACCGCCACCGCCGCCGCCGTCCCCACAGGCGCCGCCTTCGGCGTTCCGTCGGCCTTTGGGCAGCCGCCCAGCACGGGCGTGGGGACCTTCGCCACGTCCACCCCGCTCGCGACACCGCAGCCCCAACAGCAGCAGCAGCCGCAGGAAGCGGCGGGGGCGCCCGCAGCCGCATCGACGACGCCGGCCTTCGGCTTCGGACAGCCATCGGGGGAGGCGTTTGGGGTCGCCCCGGCATTTGGCGTGGCCGCCCCCACCTCGGCGCCCGCGGCCGCCACGGCGACGGCCCCGACGGGCGCACCCCCGGCAACGTCCGCCGGCCCATTTGCCGGGACGACACCGCCGGTGTTTGGTGCGACTTCTGGATCCGGAGTTGGCCTTTTCGGTGGTGGCACAGGCTCGACTGCCGGAGGGTTTTTTGGACAGCCGAGCGCGGGCGTTGGTGGCGCTGGCAGCGCGTTTGGGCAGGCGGCACCGGCTGCTGCTGCTCCTGTAAGCGGTGCGACGACCGGGACGGTGGCGACCACCGGCTTTGGATTTGGCTCCACTTCCGGTGCGGATCGGTGCACGAGTGCGATTATCACAAACACACACTAACATTTAAACTAAACTATTAACCAGGTCAGACACACCGAGTTACATAGCTCTTTTACAGAAGCGACCTGGCCACAAATGATAGCTCAACAAAGTTGCCTATCATTTGGAAATGTATAGTGGCCAAATACTCTAAACGCATGTTTCTAAATGTGGAGGGTAAAACCAGAGGACCCGGAGAAAAATCCATGCGACCATGGGGAGAACATGCAAATTCCAAATATAGAGCAGGCCTCCTCTGTATAGAGCAGCCTACTGTATACCAGGCGAGGTAGTTAACATCTCCTAGCCACCATGGCGCTTCCTCAGCAGAATGGGGAGGGAGAAGAGCCTTCAAGGCCACGAGAGAAAAAGTCCAAGCACAGACTTGTAGAGAGATGCGTAGAGGCAGAAAGTAAAAAGAGACGGACCGAGCGAAATATGGAGATGTGCAGAGAGTGACGCGATGAGAAACCGAGGTGCGTTAGAAAGAGTGGGAAAGACAGAAACCTTGAGAGACACGGAGAAAGCCATGGAGATAGACACATGGAGAGGTGCACAGAGTCGGATAGAATTGGAGAGTCTTGGACAAAGACAAAGGAGAAGAAAACCCCATGTAACAGAAGAGGGCAGAGATGTATAGAGAGAGAGACTGTGAATGACAGACAGAGAAATGTGGAGAGAGACAGACAGATGTTGATAAGAGACAGTGATAAGAGGGGACACTGATCGATAAGGAGCAATACGGAGACAAAGGGTGATAATTGCCCTTCGACAGTAGGTGGTGCTCATCGTTTTACTTGCCCGACGATCATTCCGCGGAACTGTAATGAACCAATTAAGGTGAAAAGCTAAAGAGAAATATAACTTCTAGCAAAAGTTGTTGATGAAGTGGCATTTCCTTGCTGATGAGACTGACGTTGAGGCCGTTTGCTTTGCTTAAACGCCGCAGGGGAACGTGAGCGCGGAAGTCGTATACTTCACTTTGGTCTCGTGGGTGTTGCGTAGGCAGTACGTAAGTACAGATCGCGTTGCCTCGTGTGCTCCTCTCTAGGCTTTGGATCGCAGTCCTCGTCGGCGCCTGCCTTCGGACAGCCAGCAGCGGGTGGTGGAGGGGCCTTTGGGCAGGTGAGAGACACCGTGGGTGCACTGGAACTTCCCAATTACTGAAGGCCAAATAAAGACAAATGCGAGGTTGTTGATAGAAACATCCAGACCTAAAAAGGGGCCCAAACCAAGACGCGTTGTAGGACCACCCTAGGATTCGGTGCAAACACCCCGTGGCACACAAAGCCTCACTCAGTCAACTTCTCAAATGTCCTGGGTCGATGCCTCCAAAGCGCTTGCTTCTTGTGTACCCATAAACTGTCCTGCGAGCCCCTGCCAGCGTCTAGGTTTTATGTTTCATTTAGAATCAATTCGCGTTTAGAGTAGTTGGCTACAATAAATGTCCATGTGATAAGCCACTTCGTTGAGCTATCATTTCTGGCCAGGTCGATTAAGAAAAAGAGCTCTAGAGCTCAGTGGGTCTTACTTGCTCAAATAAATAATTGTTTTTAATAATTAACAAAAGTTCTCAGTTTTAATAACGTTTACAAGTAGATACCACCTTGGTCGTTTCATTATACCTAATTGCATTAAACTAATTATGGGCCATTTCGTCGTTAAGAACACTTTTATATGATCACTCCTGTGCAATTTAAATCCGACAGCCGCGTCACTATCACCGCAAAGCGGGGGCAGAAGGCTGAGGTTTAGAAACCTTAAATCGTTTTGTTTATTTGTAAACTAAATAGAACAAATGAGACTCCACGAGCATGGCAACCGCATAGCATCCAAGCGCACAGGGTCCCTAAATTCCATGCAACAGAATACAGGGGTCGGAAACCAAATTAACAAGAAGAGCCATATTTTTCCGAATTCGGTAAAAAAAATATTTCAAGAGGCGCAATGCACTGCGTGGTGAATACGAGACGAAGGGACCTTAATAAATAACTTTCACGAAGCCGTCCTTAAAAGAGCCGCAGGTTGCCGACTCCAGGGGGGGAGTACTCACACGCACACTTGGCATCAGCAGCAGCTCTGATTGGTAGCCCCACATGACCACACCCCACGTGAACACCACCATCACGTCCCGAGAGAGGTCACAGGTGTATGCTTACCGCAAGTTTGAAACCGCTGTCCTAAGTCATTACGCGCGGTGACTATTCTTGGTTTTCCCACTTGAGATCAGCAGCGACGACGATGATAATAATCGCGATGGTGATGGTTACCCCAAGGTTGTTGACAATCATTCGGATGCCGATAAGGACGGCGATGGTTGTGATGATGATGGAGTGGCCCGGATGCCCCGTCTCATTGTAACTTTTGTCGTTCTCCGGTCCGTCATTGTCATCCCCGTGCCTCCAGCCGGCAGCGGGCAGTGCGGGATCGCTATTCGGCGGCACCGGCGGGAGTGGCTTCTTCAGCGGCCTGGGCAGCAAGCCAAGCCAGGAGGCGGCCAACAAGAACCCTTTCGGACAGACGAGCGCGGGAGGCCTCTTCGCAGGCAGCAGCAGTGAGTCGTGGTGACGAAATGTTAACTCCCTCGCCTGGTATGCAGGAGGTCCTAGGTTCGATGTTGACCCCGACGCCTGCTGCTGTATGTTTGGAGTTTGCATGTTTTTCTCTCCCCGTGGTCGCGTGAATTTTTCTCTGGGGCCTCTGGTTTTTCACTCCACATTTATAAACACTCGTTTATAGTATTTAGCTGCTATAAACTTCCACGTGATAAGCCATTTCTTTGAGCTATTATTTGTGATAGCCAGGTCACTTCTGAAAAACAACTATATAACTCAGTGGGCCTTACCTGGTAAAGTAAAATAGTTCGAGTCCGGCCAGCAATCGGAGTGAGCTGTGGTGGTGCCGTCAATGTTAGGTTTGCAAGACACAGTAAAGCCCTTGAAGCTTGACTATAATTCGGGGAGGGAGAATATTTCTGGTTGTGGGTGATGTATAGCATACTGCAAGTATTGAAATATTTCATAATTACTTTATATTTTAATAGTCTTAAGTCAAAGTAGATTTCCTGCTGAAATGAACATTGAGGTGGTCACATTTCCCATTTACGGCCCTGTGCCGCTGGTGAAAACGTCACGTTCCTATGGCACGGGTGAGTCTATCTACAGGGCAACCACTGTTGACTTCCCTACAGAGTGGTGCTTCATTTATCGACCCTAGAGAGATGATGGATCAGGTCTAACTTCCAACCACAATGTGAACTCGGCAACCTTGCGACTGCGAGGAGCTCACTCGACCGCCGAACCACCTAGCAGGATTGTAACGTAACGCAGAACTATTTATTTGTTGTTTTATTATATTTTTTAATATATATAAAAAAATTACGTTAAATATTTGTAAGCAAAATTAAAAAAATTGTTATTTACGCAAAATATTTTTACGCAAAAGATTTTGTACATGTTTATATTTCTAATTTATTTTGTTGTATTTATTATTATACTTATATTAAAATGTATGCTTTTTTAAGCTATTTTTTATACAATTGTTTATTCAACGCTTAATAGGATAATAATATGAAGCAAAACTTTACAATTTTGGCCTGGAAAAGAAAATTACATTTGCTCAGTTTAATTCACATCGCAATTACTGTGATGGGTTACAAATATTTATTTTAATTTGTAAAAAATAAATCTTAAAAATAAAAACCAGGGCACACCTCATAGATCAGAGGGCATGCAAGCGAACGAGTTCACCAGATTCCAAACAACAGATAGGTATCTGGCTTTAGAATTGGTAGTGCACGCTGGTGTGTCGTCTCCTCCCACTCACAGATTTCCGCAGGAACGGTGTTTAAGGGGCTTAGTTTGCTTTCTTAAAGAAATGCTGCTGGATAACATGAGTCTGGAAGGCCAAGTGGATATTGAACTGAAAATGTTTTAATTTTACGCAGAGACCCATCCTGACTAATCCTAAAACTGATTCTTATTTGTCTTGTTTTGTTTTTATTTCTCCATCTCACGTGATAATTTACCTATAAGTTGTACATTACAGATTCCTAAATTAACGATTTCACGCGTGCATCGTGATCTTGGCACTGTCGTGTGACCCATCCCACGCATTTACTCCACCCCACACCCCACCTCTGCCCATCTCGAACCACCCCTGCCCATCTCCCTCCGCAGACCCCCCGAGTCTGTTCGGGGCATCGGCCCCCGCATTTTGTTCCCCTGCGTCGGGGACCGGCGGCTTTGGTGAGCAGAAGCCGGCGGGGGCCGGAGGGACGTTCACCGGCGGTGCCAGTGTGGCAGCGCAGGGCTTCGGTGCCATCAGCAGCCCCTGCAAGACGCCAGGTGACCAGCGATCGCCTCCTCGTGTTCGTTCACGCTCACGCTTGCAGATCGACCCGCTGCCCCACGCTGCTCGTATCGGGGCGGTTTTTGGCCAACCGTCGCACAAAGACGGTCGGGGCATCGCGCGCTTTCAGACGTGTCTTCTGTGGCCGTCTGGAACGCTCCGCCTTCCGATATTAGGAAACCACTGGAGCTGCGCACTTTTCAAGCATCTAGATTGACAAACTCATTTCTTTAGAACTGCTTTTTGTGTTTAGATTGTTGTCCTTCCTCCGCACCTCCGATTAGCACGGTTGGCTACGTACGGTGTGGAAAAAGTTCAACGTACATAAGTGTGAACGGGTCCTGGGCCTCCCGTGGATTGACATGGCACTAAATGAGTACCGGGGTACAGTGTGCAAACATCGGCGCAAAGGAGGCGACAGAGGGGCATGGTCCTGGCTCCGCTGCCACTTCGTGCGCCGTGCCGGCCTTAATAGGTGCTCGCTGACACCACTTTGCTCCAACCGTCTCTACAAGCGAAATATTTGTTGGTGAATGTGCGTGTGTTGTGCGTGCGTTGTGTGTGTTGTGCGTGCGTTGTGTGTGTTGTGCGTGCGTTGTGTGTGTTGTGCGTGCGTTGTGTGTGTTGTGCGTGCGTTGTGTGTGTTGTGCGTGCGTTGTGTGTGTTGTGCGTGTGTCGCGCGTCAGGCTTTGGGGGACCGCCAGCCTTCGGGAGCCCCCCGTCGTTTGGGGGGAGTCCCGCGTTTGGGGCAGCGCCGGCGTTCGGGGCGGTGCCGGCGTTCGGGAGCCCGGTGCAGGCCGGGGTAGCGCCCTCGGCGCCCTCCAAGGTGTTCGGCGAAGGCACCGTCGCGGCGTCATCCGGCAGCTTCGGGTACTGCAGCCGCAGAGCAGCAATACAACCGTCCCCAGCACCACCAGCAGCATCACCACCACCAGCACTGTCATCACTACCAGCACTATCACTATCATCACTACCACCACTATCATCACTACCACCACTGTCATCACTACCAGCACTGTCATCACTACCAGCACTGTCATCACTATCATCACTACCAGCACTGTCATCACTACCAGCACTGTCATCACTATCATCACTACCACCACTGTCATCACTACCAGCACTGTCATCACTATCATCACTACCATCACTACCACCACCAGCACTGTCATCACTACCACCACTATCATCACCACCAGCACCACTATCATCACTACCAGCACTGTCATCACTACCAGCACCACTATCATCACTACCAGCACCACTGTCATCACTACCACCACCACCACTATCATCACTACCAGCACCACTGTCATCACTACCACCACCACCACTATCATCACTACCAGCACCACTGTCATCACTACCACCACCACTGTCATCATCACCACCACCAGCAGCATCATCACTACCACCACCAGCACCACTGTCATCACTACCACCACCACCACTATCATCACTACCAGCACCACCACTATCATCACTACCACCACCACTATCATCACTACCAGCACCACTGTCATCACTACCACCACCACCACTATCATCACTACCAGCACCACTGTCATCACTACCACCACCACTGTCATCATCACCACCACCAGCATCATCACTACCAGCACCACCACTGTCATCACTACCAGCACCACTGTCATCATCACCACCACCAGCATCATCACTACCACCACCACCACTATCATCACTACCAGCACCACCACTATCATCACTACCACCACCACTATCATCACTACCAGCACCACTGTCATCACTACCACCACCACCACTATCATCACTACCAGCACCACTGTCATCACTACCACCACCACTGTCATCATCACCACCACCAGCATCATCACTACCAGCACCACCACTGTCATCACTACCACCACCACTGTCATCATCACCACCAGCAGCATCATCACCACCAGCACCACTGTCATCACTACCACCAGCAGCACCACCAGCACTATCATCATCACCACCAGCACCACTATCATCACTACCACCACTATCATCACTACCACCACTATCATCACTACCACCACTGTCATCACCACCACCACTGTCATCACTACCACCACTGTCATCACTACCACCACCACCAGCACTATCATCATCACTACCACCACCACTGTCATCACTACCACCACCACCACTGTCATCACTACCACCACCACCACTGTCATCACTACCACCACCACCACTGTCATCACTACCACCACCACTGTCATCACTACCACCACCACTGTCATCACTACCACCACCACCACTGTCATCACTACCACCACCACTGTCATCACTACCACCACCACTGTCATCACTACCACCACCACTGTCATCACTACCACCACCACCACTGTCATCACTACCACCACCACTGTCATCACTACCACCACCACTGTCATCATCACCACCAGCAGCACTGTCATCACTATCACCACCACTGTCATCACTACCACCACCACTGTCATCACTACCACCACCACCACTGTCATCACTACCACCACCACTGTCATCACTACCACCACCACTGTCATCATCACCACCAGCAGCACTGTCATCACTATCACCACCACTGTCATCACTACCACCACCACCACTGTCATCACTACCACCACCACTGTCATCACTACCACCACCACTGTCATCACTACCACCACCACCACTGTCATCACTACCACCACCACCACTGTCATCACTACCACCAGCACTATCATCATCACCACCACCACCACTGTCATCACCACCACCAGCACTGTCATCACCACCACCACTATCATCACTACCACCACCACCACTATCATCACTACCACCACCAGCACTATCATCACTACCACCACCAGCACTGTCATCACTACCACCACCAGCACTGTCATCACCACCACCACCACTGTCATCACCACCACCACCACTGTCACCACCACCACTATCATCACTACCACCACCAGCACTGTCATCACTACCACCACCACTGTCATCACTACCACCACCACTGTCATCACTACCACCACCACTGTCATCACTACCACCACCACTATCATCACTACCACCACCACTGTCATCACTACCACCACCACTGTCATCACTACCACCACCACTGTCATCACCACCACCACCACTGTCACCACCACCACTGTCATCACTACCACCACCAGCAATGTCATCACTACCACCACCACTGTCATCACTACCACCACCAGCAATGTCATCACTACCACCACCACTGTCATCACTACCACCACCACTGTCATCACTACCACCACCACTGTCATCACTACCACCACCACTGTCATCACTACCACCACCAGCACTGTCATCACTACCACCACCAGCACTGTCATCACTACCACCACCACCACCACCACTATCATCACTACCACCACCACTGTCATCACCACCACCACCACTGTCATCACTACCACCACCACTGTCATCACTACCACCACCACTGTCATCACTACCACCACCACTGTCATCACTACCACCACCACTGTCATCACTACCACCACCACCACTGTCATCACTACCACCACCACCAATTTCATCACTACCACCACCACTGTCATCACTACCACCACCACCACTGTCATCACTACCACCACCACCACTATCATCACTACCACCACCACTGTCATCACCACCACCACCACTGTCACCACCACTATCATCACTACCACCACCACCACTGTCATCACTACCACCACCACTGTCATCACTACCACCACCACCACTGTCATCACTACCACCACCACTGTCATCACTACCACCACCACTGTCATCACTACCACCACCAGCACTGTCATCACTACCACCACCACCACTATCATCACTACCACCACCACTGTCATCACCACCACCACCACCACTGTCACCACCACTATCATCACTACCACCACCAGCACTGTCATCACTACCACCACCACTGTCACCACTACCACCACCACTGTCACCACCACCACTATCATCACTACCACCACCACCACTGTCATCACTACCACCACCACTGTCATCACTACCACCACCACCACCACCACCACTGTCATCACTACCACCACCACTGTCATCACTACCACCACCACCACTGTCATCACTACCACCACCACTGTCATCACCACCACCACCACTGTCACCACCACCACTATCATCACTACCACCACCACCACTGTCATCACTACCACCACCACTGTCATCACTACCACCACCACCACCACTGTCATCACTACCACACACCACTGTCATCACTACCACCACCACTGTCATCACTACCACCACCACCACTGTCATCACTACCACCACCACTGTCATCACTACCACCACCACTGTCATCACTACCACCACCACCACTGTCATCACTACCACCACCACCACTGTCATCACTACCACCACCACCACTGTCATCACTACCACCACCACTATCATCACTACCACCACCACTGTCATCACTACCACCACCACCACTGTCATCACTACCACCACCACTGTCATCACTACCACCACCACTGTCATCACTACCACCACCAGCACTGTCATCACTACCACCACCACCACTGTCACCACTACCACCACCACTGTCACCACTACCACCACCACTGTCATCACTACCACCACCACTGTCATCACCACCACCACCACTGTCATCACTACCACCACCACTGTCATCACTACCACCACCAGCACTGTCACCACCACCACTATCATCACTACCACCACCACTGTCATCACTACCACCACCACCACTGTCATCACCACCACCACCACTGTCATCACTACCACCACCACTGTCATCACTACCACCACCACTGTCATCACCACCACCACCACTGTCATCACTACCACCACCACCACTGTCATCACTACCACCACCACCACTGTCATCACTACCACCACCACCACTGTCATCACTACCACCACCACTGTCATCACTACCACCACCACTGTCATCACTACCACCACCACTGTCATCACTACCACCACCACTGTCATCACTACCACCACCACTGTCATCACTACCACCACCACTGTCATCACTACCACCACCACTGTCATCACTACCACCACCACTGTCATCACTACCACCACCACTGTCATCACTACCACCACCACTGTCATCACCACCACCACCACTATCATCACTACCACCACCACTATCATCACTACCACCACCACTATCATCACTACCACCACCACTGTCATCACTACCACCACCACTGTCATCACTACCACCACCACCACTGTCATCACTACCACCACCACTGTCATCACTACCACCACCACCACTGTCATCACTACCACCACCACCACTGTCATCACTACCACCACCACCACTATCATCACTACCACCACCACTGTCATCACTACCACCACCACCACTGTCATCACTACCACCACCACTGTCATCACTACCACCACCACTGTCATCACTACCACCACCACTGTCATCACTACCACCACCACTGTCATCACTACCACCACCACTATCATCACTACCACCACCACTATCATCACTACCACCACCACCACTGTCATCACTACCACCACCACCACTGTCATCACCACCACCACCACTGTCATCACTACCACCACCACCACTGTCATCACTACCACCACCAGAACTGTCATCACTACCACCACCACTGTCATCACTACTACCACCACCACTGTCATCACTACCACCACCACCACTGTCATCACTACCACCACCAGCACTGTCATCACTACCACCACCACCACTGTCATCACTACCACCACCACCACTGTCATCACTACCACCACCACTCTCATCACTACCACCACCACTGTCATCACTACCACCACCACCACTGTCATCACTACCACCACCACTCTCATCACTACCACCACCACTGTCATCACTACCACCACCACCACTGTCATCACTACCACCACCACCACTGTCATCACTACCACCACCACTGTCATCACTACCACCAGCATAATCACTCATCACTACCACCAGCACAATCACTATGATCACTGTCATCACTACCACCACCACTCTCATCACTACCACCACCACTGTCATCACTACCACCACCACCACTGTCATCACTACCACCACCACTGTCATCACTACCACCACCACTCTCATCACCACCACCACCACTGTCATCACTACCACCACCACCACTGTCATCACTACCACCACCACTGTCATCACTACCACCACCACCACTGTCATCACTACCACCACCAGCACTGTCATCACTACCACCACCACTGTCATCACTACCACCACCACCACTGTCATCACTACCACCACCAGCACTGTCATCACTACCACCACCACCACTGTCATCACTACCACCACCAGCACTGTCATCACTACCACCACCACTGTCATCACTACCACCACCACTGTCATCACTACCACCACCAGAACTGTCATCACTACCACCAGCACAATCACTATGATCACTGTCAACACGACTATCACTATCAGCACTACCAACACTACCAGCACTGTCATTACTATTATCAGCATTGTCGTCACTACCACCAGCACCATCACTATCAGCACTATCAACAAGACCACACCTATCATCACTACCAGCACCATCATCATCGTCACTACCACCGGCATATCTGTCGTCACTAAGACCACCACCAACAACATCATAATCACCAGCAGCACCACAACAATGACCACTACTCCCACCATGATGGTGATACTGGTCATGGTGATGGGAACTCTTCATGATGATGATTTGTTTTTGTCTCGGAGCATGTTACAGGCGATAAGCCCCGTACATCTCATCTCTCATCTCAACACATTTCAAAGGGCACTCCCCCTCCACCCCAGTGGCAGCTGTCCCTGTGTGGTACACGATGACTCGGCATTAGTCTGCCAGTCGGCGAGGATGATTGCTGCTGGGCGTAACGCCAATTGAGCACCATTGGAACCTCATTTGCCAGTAACAAAATATGATAATTGTTTTTTTACCCTTTTATCTGGCAACAAAACTGACACCTTTTTTACAAGGAGTCATGTTTGCATTGACTCATACTCTGATGGTGCATTGTCTTTGAGTTGTGCGCCTTTTGGCGTCATCTGGTCCAACACCATGTGAGACTAGGCTCTGATAAAAGCTGTCTCGGGTGTGGACCAATCAATTTCAAGGACAGTGCATACATTATCAGAATTGTGTTTTTTGTTTGCATTCCATGTGTAGGTATTGTTGTCAATGCAAACATGACTCCTTGTAAAAAAGGTGTCAGTTTTGTTGCCAGATAAAAGGGTAAAAAAACAATTATCCAATTGAGCATTTAGAAGGACATTTTTTGTTTATTCGTAAAATTTGTGCCATGATGCCAGCACACAATGAATGACATCAAAGGATATTTCATGTCCACTGTGAAGCAGACGGTGCAGAATATTTTAATTGTTAATATGTCGGTATTAATCAGGGCGGCCTGTGGGATTCTAATCGTGAGCCTCTGCAACAGGTGGCGAACGCACTACCGTTGGGCAGTGTCTCCGCCCTGATGACGATGACGAAGATGATGATGATGATTATTACGATTATGATGACTGCACTGTGATTGTGCTGACTCTTAATGATGTCGTTGATGGCAGTTATGAATGAATGTTGACGACTGCGGTGTATTGTTGACAACAGGGATACTGATTTGTGTGGCGATCGCAATAGCCGTGATAATGCCGATGACGGCAGCGATGCTACCAATTGCTGATGGTGTCCTTGATGACAGTGATGTTGCTCTCACACTACCTGTCAGTTGACGAGTCAACCTCGAACCCAATGTAAAAAACAAGTGTCACAATGTGGTCACGATGCACTTTTCGGCAATTCCCCTTTTTTTGCTCTGGTTTCTGTCGCGTGCGCCGCGTGCGTTGGCCCGCATGTTGTGTTTAGCGTGTTTCACACGGCTTGTACAAACCGTGCAGAGTCGATTCTTTGCCTGTGCGATTTGCCCACCCGCGCGTCGCGCGAGGATTTTTATCTCGCTTCATCGGCGAAAGTTTTGGCTGACGATTTAGCTGGCGATGCCCCGGCTCACTCTTCTCTCCTTTCCCCACCCCTCGCCACGTCCGTCCCCGTCTCCTCCGCCACGGCAGCTTCGGTGTGGTGGGCTCGGCGCCTTCGTTCGGGAACCTCGCCAACCAGGCCAACCTCCCGAGCTTCGGCTCGGTGGGCGCCGTATCGGGTGGCACCACCACCTTCGGTTCGGCCCCGACTGGATTTGGGGCCCCGGCCCAGGGGTTTGGCGCCCCCGCCCAGGGCTTCGGCGCCCAGCCCACCACGTTCGGTGGATTCGGTGGCGGTGGTGGTGGTGGTGGCACCGGTGAGAAGCCGTTCGCATGGACACATGTATAAGACATAAAAAGACTGTTTGGGGCGAGTGTTGTTAGCGGGCACCTATAAAGGCCGGCACGGTCCACGAGGGGGTGTGTGTCCAGCACCACGCTCGGCCACCTTTGTCTCCCTAGAGTGGCGATTTTTACAAACCACACCAGGTACTCATTTGAGGCCGAGTCAACCTAAGGGAGCCGCAGGAATAGCTCAGATAATTAATCGTCACTGGTGTTGGCCGTGAACGGGACTCAAACTCGGGTCGCCGGGTTCGTAGCTTTGCACGAACCACTACACACATGTACGCATACGTACACACACAGACATATAGAAGCTGTCGGTGATAATGGGGCAGCCCTGCAAAATCTCACGTCACTGCTGACGGAGAGACCTCCACTAGAACGAGCTCTTGGAGAGCCCCTCTGGGTGGTATATTGGTCTGCTCTTCCACGCTGGCCACAGGTCTTGGAGGAGCTGGGAGTGGCTTGGCACACGTGATATGACCTCTCTGTTTGTGGTGCATGGCGGTTGTGTCGTGTTGCATTGTAACAACTTTAGGATTTTGTTTTGGCAGGCTTTGGCAGCGCTGGATTTGGATCTCAGTCCACGTAAGTGTTCACACTCAACGTATCATTGAACAAGAAGGTGGCTTCGGATAATCAATCAATCAAACTTTATTATTAATGGAGTGCCCTTGGCAATAACATCGTCACAGAGCGCTTCACTTGTAAACATTGCATTACATCATTACAATTTTAGATACACGAAATAGTGAAAAGCATATAAAAAGAGTTTATAAATTACATATTTAGCCACAGGTTAAAAACCTAAACACCTTCCTTATCGGATAGTGTTCACGGTACACTCCACGTGATCAAAACACCCTACAACGCTGCACCATGAAAAACCCTACACGCTGCACCATGAACACGCCGCACCATGATGATCAAATAACCCTTGTGACCCGCACGGCTTGGGGGGAGGCCATAATCCAACAGTGGACATTGTTTCCAACATCGTGGCATGGTTTCTATGCGCGGTATTGATGAGCAGCAGTAGCAAACACCATCTGCAGGAAAACTTAAAGCGTGCGAGTAAGTTTTCCGTGTAACGCGTTTTCCGTGTAACGCGTTTTCCGTGTAACGCGTTTTCCGTGTAACGCGTTTTCCGTGTAACGCGTTTTCCGTGTAACGCGTGTGGTTGCCTCTGTGTTTGTGCCGTTGCAGTCCCTCTGGATCTGCGTTCTCCGGATGGAGAAGCTGAAAATCGCCGTTTGCGAATTTAATCGGTGGCTTGTTAGTCCGAGTTCTGTTTATGTTTTTGTATGATTCGTTCTGAACCAGTTGGCAATAAAAAAAAATATGCACAGGTGGTCGCCAGAGTCGGAAACTGACTTTATTGACGATGTCTGTATCATAATCGCTTAGCTGACTTGACCGATGTCTTGAGTGGTAATATGGAGTTGGGTAATGGTCAAGAAGGGCATGGGTAAGGTACGAGGTGTGGTAACAGTCGATACATAGTGGGAGGGACACGGGACTGCAGCTGCGGCGCTGTCGCATCTGACGATGAAGGGGCAGCAGATCACCTGCCTCTTCATCTGACGATGAAGCTGGAGCCACAGCAGTGTAGACCTTCTGGCTTTGATTGCAGAGCATCGAAACAATCCCTCCAAAGACAGCTGGACAAAATTGTTCTTCTTCTGCTGGTAAAGCCCCTTGGAGCAGTGAATGCCACGGGTCAATGTCCTGTTAACTCTACAGCTGCGTTCTCTGTTTGTATCATCCTCTCTGAAAATGGCCATTGCTATTTCCCAATGAATAAAAGGCTCTGACAATGTTTTTATTTAGTTAATGGTTGTGGTGGTTATATCGTTTCATCGGCCTCTTCCTCGACTCGTCCCAGCTGCAAGAGACCCTCATTTGACAGATCCTCACCCCATTGGCATCAAGCAACTCCACGACGTCCGACTCCTCCACATTGTCGAGTCCAGCTTGGATTTAAAATGTTTGTTAGTTGTCTGCTGGTCACTATTTCGTATCGGAATCGCTTCCAGTGCTGTTGCTGCTGGCGGCAATAAAAGTTGTTTAAAAGTAAAAAGTCTGTCCGCCCCGTGGAGAAAAATTTCTCCCCGCAGTGCAATAACCACTGCGCCATCACTCCTAACGGAACACAACAACATCCGCCATCCACCATGAAGTGGCGCTGACCTCACGACGGCGCTTGTGGCAGGCGAGGTGCACTTTGAGGCCACGTGAAGTGTTGAAGGCTCCCTGGCAGGAGGTCACGGAACAGACCCAGGTGCCATGGGTTGACTGAGATGACTGGCAGATTGCACCAGCTGTGCATCCCACGGTGACTACTTGCTTCTATTTTATCAACCTTGCACTTTGCTCGTTGTGAGCGTCGCTCCTAGGCCCTCGGTTGTTGCTGGATAGCGACTGCCTCCAACTGCCGAGTACCATTCTTCACGAACTTCCTCCATTGAGGCCGATCTAAACACCGCTGGTGCCAGTCATCGGCAAGTCCGTTCAACTTCGCATCCTGTGCCACATCAGTCCATCTCTTTTCTAGACCGTTTAGAACCATATATCCGGCCAAACAGAAGCTGCTTGGGCATGTGGTGGCTGGTCAAGCAGGCGACATGACCCAACCAACGCAGCCTTGCCTGCTGGAGGAGCTCACTGTTGGGACTGTGTCCAGAACTTTCAAGGATCTGTGAGCTCCTTACACAATCCAGTCTGGTTAAACCCCGGATGGATCGTAGGAAGGCCAGCCTGAATGTTTCAAACCGGCACAGATGTTCCATTAGAGGGGTCCATATTTTTCAAGCTGGACAAGCTGGCTCCGTTAAAACCACGAACCACGAGGCAGCCTTCCCACAACGCTCGCTGGCTCTCAAGAGACGCCATCCTTGCTAAGTGAATCAGCAGGCACCTTGAGAGGATCGTGTCCCGCAGTGGTCTTCCTGCTGATCGAGTTGCCTACAGAGCTGCCTGCAGGAAAACTAGCGAACTTGCCTCACGTTACTCCTACATTGCAGAACGCATCAAAACAGCTACAGGAAAACCACACATCCCTGGAAAACCCTCAAAGATCTACATCCTGGTAGCAACATGGTCCCTCACCTTAGCGATCCCCTGGCCTCACTGAAACTTGCCACCTCTTTCAAAACTTACTTCAACAAGCTGACCACCATTGCAAACTCCTGCACGTCTTCCCTCACATCGCACCATCGTACCCCGCTTCCGTTTTCTGAAATTGAAAGCACTCAACGAGACACCATTCTAACCACGTTCAAGCCGGTGTTTTTAAAAGACGTTTTCTATTTGATTCAATCACTTCACATGAAGTCATCTCCACCCGATGTCCTCCCAGGTTCTTTGTTCAAACAATGTGCTCCGGAACTTGCCATCATGATCAGGAACATCGCAAATGCCTCATTCTCTATGGTGGTTCAACCTCAAATCTGGCCTGGTTTCCCCCCTGTTAAAGAAACCAAGTCTCGACCCGGATGACCCATCTAGCTATCGTACCATCACTAATCTCTCGAACCTCTCTAAACTCCTCAAAGACTCGCCCTCGCCCAGCTAAAACCCCAAATCACCTCCTCCCCAAACTACTGCTCCTTCCAGGCAGCTTACCGTCAACTACTCCACAGAAACAGCACTCACCAGAGTGCTCGATGACATTTTAATGATTATTGACTCCCGCTCCAGACTCCGGCTCCATTGTTGCTCTTGTAAGTCTGGACATTTCATCAGCCTTTGACACCGTCAACCACTCGCTCCTTACTTCCTTCCTGAAATCCGACTTCGGTATATGTGGCTCAGCACTCGAGTGGATACTGTTGTACCTTTCTGATCATCAATCCTCAGTCAGGGTGGGCTCGTCCACATCTCCTGAGACAAAAGCATTATGTGGCGTCCCCCAGGGCTCCGTTCTCGGTCCCCTGCTGTTCACAGCCTACACTTTCCCGATCGGCCGCCTCATCCCAAGCTTCGGTTTTAAGCACCACTCATATGCGGACGACACTATTCTGTTCACCGCTATCAATTCTACCAATGCGTCTGGATTTGAGAGGCTCTCGGAATGCACCACTGCCCTGCAACAATGGTTCTCCGCACACAACCATGCCCTTCATCCGTCAAAGTCAGTGGCCATCATATTAGGTACCAGGCAACGTACTCTTAGTTCTTTCGGTAAAGTCACGTAGGTAAAAAATGAAATAAAAATAAAAATAAAACAATAAAAATCACGACATTTCGGAGGCAACACAAGTCTCCATCATCAGGTGGCGGAGACTTGTGTTGCCTCCGAAACGTGATTTTTATTGTTTTATTTGTATTAATTTTTATTTAATTTTTTACCTACGTGACTTTACCGAAAGAACTAAGAGTATGAATGCTTGCAGTCACGAAAGCTTCAAATCTAGAACCAGGCAACGTCTCAACTCATCCGCACTCCCAACACACTGACACATCTTTGGTCACAGCATCAGGTTCACCGATCACTTCAGCTACCTCGGTGTCATCCTAGATTCAACTTTATCCTTCGACCGTCAAACCAACCATATCATCAGTTCATGTAACTTTCACCTGAAGGCTCTGAGACACCTACATCCTCTCATCTCCACTGAAACTGCCAACATATTGGTACGTTGCATAGTTGAGTCTTGCCTCGACTATTGCATCTCCGTCCTAGTCCGGTCCTCCTCTGGAAACCTAAAAAAACTTCAAAGACTACAAAGCAACCTGGCACGCATCGTCATTGGCCGCACTCATCCCCGTCTCGACTCACTTGCCTGTCTCCGTGCCCTCCACTGGCTACCCATTGCCAGCAGGGTCACATACAAGATCGCCTGCCTCTGCCACCACGCCTTCACATCTGCCTGCCCCCCGTACCTCTCTTCATCATTGACGACTTGCAGCACAGCCCACCGCAGATGCCTTCACAGTGCGACTCACGACCTCCTCTTGATACCAAGATCCAGGATGGTCACGTCAATGTGCCGCTTCTCGGTGGCTGCCCCAACAGTCTGGAACGCAATCATCCCTCTGCACATTCGCAGCATCACCTCAATCGTCTCCTTCAAGAGACACTTAAAAACTCACCTCTACAACCACACTTTCAAGCAACTCTGAGCTTGGCTCCGCGCCTCTGAGTTACGTCCGCAAATTTGCTCGCGTTATAAATTGCATTATTATTATTATTAAGGCCCACTGGGCTATATAGCTCTTACTCTTTGGGTCTTTCGGTAAAGTCACGTAGATAGAAAAATAAAATAAAAATGACGACGTTTCGATCGCAACACAAGCAATCGTCTATTTTTCTATCTACGTGACTTTACCGAAAGACCAAAAGAGTATGAATTCCTGCAGTCACAAAGCCTTAAATCAAGATTTATACTGTATAGCTCTTTTAAAGAAGTGATCTGGCCACAAATGATAGCTCAACGAAGTGGCTTATCATCTGGACCAAACACTATAAACGCATAAATAAATCTTGACTTAAAGCTTTTGTGACTGCAGGAATTCATATTCTTTGGGTCTTTCTGTAAAGTCACGTAGATAGGTTCAAAGAAAATAACAAAAAACTACGACGTTTCGATCGCAACTCAAGCGATCATCATCCTCCTAAATTACGATCGTCATCCTCCTGATGACGATCGCTTGAGTTGTGATCGAAACGTCGTAGTTTTTTGTTATTTTCTTTGAACCTATCTACGTGACTTTACCGAAAGACCCAAATAAAACTGTAAACGCACGTCTCTAAATGTGGAGTGAAAAACCGGAGCACTCGGAGAAACATCCACGCGACCACGGGGAGAGAGACGCAAACTCCAAATATACAGCAGCAGGCGTCAGGGTCGGGATTGAACCCACGAACTCCTGTAAACCAAGCGAGGTAGCTACCATCTCGCTACTCCACCACTGATCACCCCAAAATCAGCAAGCTCTTCAACCACCTCTGGTATGTTTCATCTAATTATTTGTAATTAGTAAAAATGAATGTCAACTTACGATCATAATTTTTTGTACACTTCATGACATTTAGTCACATTCCCCCTCCCCCCACCCAGAAATGTCGGCCAGGAACGCAACCCCTGAGTTTAACATGTATACGGCAAATTAGAGTTCGCTTTAAGTAATTTCCATGGTGGCTAGATGTTAACTCCCTCGCCTGGTATACAGAAGGTAGTGGATTCGATCCCGACCCTGACGCCTGCTGCTGTATATTCAGAGTCTTGCATGTCTCTCTCCCCGTGGCCGCGTGGATTTTTTTCCGGGCCCTCTGATTTTTCCCCTCCACATTTAGAATCGACATCATGCGTTCAGAGTATTCGGCTGCTGTTATTTCCACACGAGAAGTCCACTTCGTTGAGCTATCATTTCTGGCCAGGTCGCTTCAGAAAAAAAGAAGCTACATAACTCAGCGTGGCCTTACTATGGTAAAATATTGTGGCCGTAACGTGGTGAGAATTTTATTTTATTATGTTTTGTAATTATTTTATTATTTCCCTTCTACGTGGCTTTACCGAAAGAACCAAGAAGATGGTAAAATATTTTAAAACACAGTTTTTAGTAGTTTATTTTCTATAGGAACGCATCCCTTGACGTATAGCGGGGTTGTCCCAATAGTTGATACCCCCCACGTGACTTGGCCTTTACATATCGCACCGCGCATAGGCGACGCGTCCCCCCACCCCCTCCCCCCGTAAGGCTCCCCGCGAATCGGCGAACGCGGTGGGGCCACGCGGCGCGCGCCACCCAATGGGCGAGCGGCAGGCACGGCCTTCGCGGCGCCCATGCGCGCTGGGAAATGCAAGAGAGGCCGGCGGTGGTTGCGGCTCTAGGCGAGCCGAGGAGCGGACGACGCTGCAGGCCTCCTCCACCGCTTCGGCCCCCTCCCCGCTGCCTCTACCCCGAGGTTCTTCCAGAGCAGCAGCAGCAGCGCCCGCGGCGATGAGCAACGGCGCCGAGGCACGCAGGTAACGCTGGCCGCTTCTCCCGCGGCTGCTCTCGTCGGGGTTCGCGTGGCGTCGCGGCTGTGGCCTAGTCGTTGTTGACGAAGCCTCGGCTTCGCCTGGATCGCTGGCCCGGGGCAGGCGCGCGGGGAGCGGGGAGGGGAACGCGGCTCGAACCGGCGCCGCGGTCTCTCCACCTCGCATTGTCATCTTCTCCTCGGCCGGTCACCGCCACCGCGGGGTAAAAGAATACATTTTAATAAACCTCGTAATTGTTTTATCGCTGTTGATTTTTGTTGTTTTAACTTTTCATAAGCGAGGTTGCGGGTAGAGCGAGCGAGCGTGAGAGACGCTTTTGAATGAACGGCGCCTCGCTCGGCTCCGCCCCGAGTGGTGGAAATTGGACGTTACCATGGCGGGAGCCGGCTTGCAACCATCGCCGCCGAGCGCTGACACGAACGGGCAATGGGGAGAAGGGGGTAACGAGGCTCGGTGACGCGAACGACTGCTGCGTTGTCTGAATGAGTTGTCTTTCCGACAGCCCTGTTCATCACCTGAGGACGGCTGCTTGCGTTGTGGCCGAAACGTCGTGAGAATTATTTTATTATGTTTTATTTTTTAATTATTTTATTACTTCCCTTCTACGTGACTTTACCGAAAGAACCAAGAAGATGAATCCCTGCAGTCACGAAAGCTTTAAATCGAGACTGCTGCGTGGTTTGGTTTGTTGCACCACACAACCTCTGATTAGCTACATTCATCGCAAACGAAGCTCAACTTACAGTACAGTACAAAGTTTAACACGTAGACGGCTTATTCTGGGGTTAGATCGCGTAAATATAAAAGTGTGTCGTTAAACCCGCCACCACCCGACACAGCAAATCAATTAGGAAGGGGGTTGTCACGGAAACAGAACGTGCCAATTCGTTACTAGTTTAGCACGCCGGCGTGTTAGAGAGTAATCCCACAACATTGACAATTCGAGTACGACGTTTCGCTGGTAATAACAGCTACCTTCATCAGGCGATATCCAGAATTGTGGAGGATTCCTCCAGTTTCGGTCTTAAATAGAGAGGCTTTCAGTTCATCAATATACAGTGGGATACTATTTTAAAGTTTGTTATCCACCTCCCGCATCTCCGACCAGCATGGTTGACAGCAGCTATATACACATTAAGTCAAGTCAGTCTAAGAGTTGCTAAATTAATGAGATTACAAAGTAATGAACTGTTTAATTGCATGCCTATGCAGGTCACCATACAGTGACTTAATGTGTATGTAGCTGCTGCCAGCCGCTCTGGTCGTAGGTGGATAACAATCTCACTTTAAAAAACAAGCATTCCATTGTATGTTGTTTAACTGTAAGCGGCCAATCATAGTTACAGCATATCCTCGGCATGCTGGAAGATCAACATAATGTACGCACATTATGTTGATTAACTGTGAATAATCAACTATTAACAGGTACGGAATATTCTCAGATGAACATGATTCATTGTAATTTTTACGACGACATTAACCCCCCCCCCCCTCCTCTGGTCTTCGCACCTGACAGGCCAACATTGGCGAACATCATCACATTTACCCCCTGTATTTAAGTCCCAAACAGGAGGAATTCGCCACAATTCTGTCTGTCTGCCTGATGATGCTGGTTGTTGCAATTGCCAGCGAAACGTCGTTACTTGAATTGTAAATGTTGTGGATTTACTCTCCAATGGGCTGTCGGGTGGTGGTGGGTTTAACGGCACATATTTACGTGATCTAACCCCAAAATTATTTATTATGGAAACTGTAACAAAGACCTTCCTTTAGGCAGATGGCTAAATAAAAGTATATCTACAGCCCTGATTGTGTTCAGTGCTGTTCAAATGCAGTGTATTCCAGACACTCTTGAATGGAACTTGCTAAAAATCTCACAGGACCCTCGTGAAAGAGTCATTATGTTTGCCGAGGCTTTTGGCTAAACGAATTAGATAATTGTACACGTAACTGCATCGTGCTCTATTGAATAAATATAAATCGACATAAATGGCTCCTGCCGTAGGAATGTGAAGTCCACGCCACAGAGGCAGGACCGCCAACAATTATGAACGCTGGAAGCTGAACCCGTTTTTAACGGTAAATATATTGGTCCGGTAGTATTTGTAAAAATGTTTTGGACTGTGGTATGTCTTTGCTGAGGTGTATTAAAATTGTGTTTTAAGAAGTGCCCAGTGTAATGTAGTTTTTGTTTTTAAACCATCAATTATTAGTTTCCACAACTCTAACAGTAGGCTGAATCCGTTAATATACTGTATAGTAATTGTGTAGTGCGTGAGACACGCGTCACGCGCTGGGTCGGTATGCGCGCACGTGGCAGACAGTGAGGGCAAACGAGGACACATGGCGCTGATTGGCTAGCCGTTGTTGTTGTACATATTAAGGTGGCGTGATAGTTAAGGGGGCCGCAGGTGGCCGGGGGTAATTGAGGACGCAGGGCGTTGATTGGACGAGAGGGGCTGTTGTCTGAGATTGGCGCCGGCATGTCTGGAATAACAACGCCACGTGGCGCTGGGGGCGAGTGGTGTCGCGGGGGATGACCTAATTAATTCGGGGATAAAGGGTGAGATGGTGGAGTGAAACGGGAGTTGGTGCCTGGGACGAGAGACAACGGATGGAGAGACGGAGCAGCGGATAGAGTGAGTACAGCATAGGGTAGCAGCGGATAGAGTGAGTACAGCATAGGGTAGCAGCGGATAGAGTGAGTACAGTGTAGGGTAGCAGCGGAGTAACGGAAGCATCAGTGGAGAGTGAGACGACGGAGAGTGAGACGACGGAGAGTGAGACGGAGTGAGACGACGGAGAGTTACAACGGAGTGGGACGACGGAGTTGATAAAGAGCAGCCGAGCTGGAGAGAGAGCGGAGAGGAGAGTCGACGGAGGAGCAGAGGGGAGCGAGCGAGGTCAGCGGAGCGCAGCGAGTGAGCGGAGGGACATTGAGTGATGTTGACGGAGAGTTGTGGGTTGGAGTGTACGGAGGAACATTGAGCGGTGTTGACGGGAGAAATGTGGAACTATATAATTGAATAAAAGAACAGAGGAAAGACAAGAAGCTGTCGTGTCGGTCCGAGCACTACAATTGTATTATTTTGTTTAGTGGTTAGTAAAGAGGTCAGCTTAAGTTTTCAGGCTGGTGTTGGAGGCAGAAGTAATGCTTATTCTTCTCCGTTTATCATTTATGACACATGAAGAAATGCCATTGCCCAAAACGTCACCTATTGTAATACTCTTAACATTTAATGTAACAGTGTTATTGCTTAATGTGTTGAGTTTTGTTATTTGTGCAGTATCATCAAATAAGTTGTCTTCGTACACTCTGGCTGAGAGAACTTGATGTATTAATGTGATGTGATAGTAGGGGGGGCCACGGTGGCCTGGTATACAGGGGGTCGTGGGCTCGATCCCGACCCTGACGCCTGCTGTATATTTGGAGTTTGCATCTTCTCTCTCCCTGTGGTTGCTTGAATTTTTCTCCGGCTCCTCCGGCTTTTCTCTCCACATTCATAAACATGCGTTTAGAGTATTGGGCTGCTATACATTTCTACGTGATAAGCCACTTCGTTGGGCTAAGTCGTTCTTCCCTTTGAAAGGTCGGTGACCCCTGATCCAGATGGTGGCGATGGCACTGTTTGAGGGGGACCTTGGGGGCTGGATATTGAATGCGCAAAAGGTCATCGTGAAATGTAGCTAAAGTAAGCCATAAACTACTGTAGGGATTTTATGAATTGGATTGTCAATTATAAATACATTCACCCTTCCTATGAACGGCAAATTTGTGATTCAATCTGTGAAATTAAATCTCGGACGGTGGACATAATGAATGTAATGCAGCCAACACATTCCATATAACTGAGGCACTGTATCAATGATATTTGGTCAGGTTATTTTGGTTTCACGATTGTGTGATCGAGAGGGGGGAAGGAAATTATATTTGTGGGGGGTGAGATGATTAGGAGAGCGGAGGGATGTTTTTAAGATGGAGGAAAGGATATGGTGGAAGGAAACGGCCAGCAGTGACAAACATGGCTCGTGTTGACAATGTGTTTAGAGATAAAAAGCACATCACATAGAATAACAAAATTCAGAACCTTCTTAATGATGGCAGCTATACCAAAATCAATACAGATCCTACCAACCGCCTGGTTACGAAAACCAACAATATCATCACTGATTCGACATCTTTAATCGAACCAACCAAGCGGCTTTCCTTAAAACCTTCTGCTTCTAGACCACCCAGGTGTTATGGCTTACCAAAAATCCATAGAGAAGGTACACCATTCTGTCCTATCGTCTCCACCATTGACTCACCCACCTAGAAACTGGCTCGATTTCTGTCTGAGACCTTACAACCATTGACTGCTAAGACCACCTCAGCTGTACTTAACTCGGCTCACTTGGTATCTTTCATTAAGGACATCTCACGATCTCCAGGTGATTTGCTTGTCAGTTTCGATGTAGTATCTTTATTTACCAAAGTTCCTGTGCCTGACACCATTACAATCATTGAAGATTTGGTCCAACAAGGACTGAATGTTGATGTACCGGCCCTGGTTAGACACTGCCTCACCAATACCTACTTCACCTGGAATGGAACATTCTACAAACAAGTTGAAAGTACCCGAATGGGTTCTCCCTTATCTCCAGTTGTCGCCAATGTTTTCATGGAAAAATTTGAGACAGATGCCATCCAAGCATCCACCCTACATCCGTTCTTGTGGAAGAGATGCGTAGATGACACATTTGTCATCTGGCCACATGGCCTACCAGCTCTGGACTAATTCTTTAACCACATCAATGCCATACACCCAGCCATCAAATTCACCATGGAGGTGGAAAAGGATGGCAAGTTACCATTCTTGGATGTTTTAACCGAAAAGAGACCAGATGGCTCAATGGGACACTCTGTCTACAGGAAAGCCACCCATTCGGATGCCTACCTAAAACATGACTCCCACCACCACCATCCCAGAAGAATTCCCTTTTCAAAACTCTACACCATAGAGCTCGTTGTATTTCTGACCATCACCACCTCGCCAGTGAACTGGAGCACGTACACCAAGCCCTCAAGATGAATGGATATTCAGACTACACAATCCATAAAGCTGTCACCCCAACCGTTGGGAAAGAACCATCTGAGGACCCAATTAAAACCATCACCTTGCCATACATAGCAGGGGTTACCAAAAATATATTTCCCAAATCATGAGCAAACACAAGATCAAGGTTCGATTAAGAACAGTACACAAAATCCGTGACCTGATCCCATCTGTGAAGGATGTGATCCCTGACATGCACTACACCGGTGTCTACAAACTAAGCTGTGTCACAATAGTTACATTGGGGAAACTAAGCGACATGTCTCGGACCGTGTTCGTGAACATATGGCAGGATCTGAAACACGGTAGGACCAATACCTCGGCCGTGGTTGATCATTGTTTTAACGCTGTGGGCACACACGAAATAGATTTTTCTAAGACGAAGGTACTCTGCAAACCCACTGGTTATCAGCAAAGATTCGTTCATGAAGCCATCCAGATATTTAAACACAGACACAATTTCAACCGAGAAGATGGGTACAAACTGAGCAATCATTGGAAGGACGTTATTAACCAGTTTAAGTCATAACTGTCTGTAATGTTTCCATCCTAATGTCTCACTAACACAGCCACCGTTGCTCGTTTTCTTCGATGTGGCAGTGGCTCTCGTTTTTCTTACATAGGCATGCAATCTCTCAATACAATGGCCACCTCCACAGCTTCATCGTCGTGGAGGTAGCTCAGCTCTCCGATCTTACATTTACACGCAAATTTTATTTCTAGCCCCGCCCACTTCGCTTATGACCCTTGGGCTACACCCATCTCAAGCCTTTAACATCCTGCCTCAGCAGCTCTCCCGCTAAATTTTTTCACCTGATGGTGATTGCTTGTGTTGGGATCGAAACGTGATATTTTTATTATTTTTCTATCTACGTGGCTTTACTGAAAGACCCAAAGAATATGAATTCCTGCAGTCACAAAAGCTTTAAGTCAAGATACATCATCTCTGTACGCATGTAGAAATTCTTTCTCACCATACGTAGTCAACTGTGCTAATCGGAGGTGGAAGTACGGGGGAAGGACAACAGACTGTTAGTGGTTCTGAGTAAACGGGGTGCACATTCCACATTGTCACGGCAGAGATCCTGCTCTTCATACTAAGAACGCGGTTGGCTTCCCACAATGTTTCAAATGTATTGTGACCCCCTTATTGATAACGATGGGTTGAGTTAACACTCATGGAATTTGAACCCTCAAAGTGCTGATTGAGAGTTGAGCACTCCGCGTTGACACCAATCTGGATGGACACTTAAACACGTCTTAGAATCGAGAATTTTAGCCAGTTGCCTCGTGGCACTGCCATGATCACCCTGTATGCATTTGCAAATGACGACACCTACCTCCTCGGCATTTAACATAATAATGGACATTCAGTGGGCCCACCGTGACTCGCAGCCAACAGCTGTCTCACGAAATGTAGTTCTGAATTTGTCTGTTTACGGAAAAGAGGATGCAACTCTAAAACTGATTCTTCATTTACTGAGCAAAACAACAACATTCCATGCTGCTCTTATGCCGCTAAGCCAATTGTAACATCGTTATACCGAGGTTCTTCATATTTTCTTTCTCCACCTATTTCTAGTCTGCGCCTCTTTTCTCATCATTCCAGCACATTCCATCTCACCCTCAGTCTCCCTCTGCCCCTTTCCCCTGTACTCTCATCTCCACAGCCCTTCCAATTGCATCGTATTTGTCTCTTGTCAACATGTGCCCAAACCATCCACATTGCGACATTAGCAACCCCTGTTTAGGCTGTTAATGTCTAAATTCTGCCTTCTTCCGCTTAAATATATTAGCCATTCTCAATCCACCGATTGATGAAGGCCTTCCCAAGTGATGGCGGTCATGGGTATTTTTTGCCCACGTCACCACACAGATCAATGTGGGTTTGTGAAGCGAGCAGGAGTCGGGACCAGTTGTAATATATCACTTGCCACTGATGCTAATACACTAAAGCATGTTTTACTTTACCAGTTAACGCCCACCGAGCTATGTAGCTATTTTACAGTGGCAACCTGGTCACAAATGATAGCTCAACGAAGTGGCTTATCACGTGGAAATGTATCGCAGCCAAATACTCTAAACGCGTGTTTATAAATGTGGAGGGAAAAACCGGAGTACCCATAGAAAAATCCACACGACCAGCGGGGAGAACATGCACAATCCAAATATACAGGCATCAAGGTTTTTAATCGAACCTATGACCTCCTGTATATCAGGCGAGGTAATTAGCACCGTGCCACCGTGGGGCCCTTAGCCATGGCTGGGACTCAAACTCAAGTGGCTGAGCTCACAGCGCAGTGCACTAACAAGTGGACTACTGCTGCACCCCCCCCCCCCCCCTCGGTGTACCTTCGCTCTTAAAACTACTGACCTGCTTGATGTCTGTTCCTCTGCTATTTACGGTCTCAATATCCTTCCTTCTCCCTTTGCTGTGACTAATGATTTAATATTCTAGACGACGACTTTTAATCATCCGCTCTCCAGCTTTCCTGCCATCTCACCAGGCTTGCAGCCCCCCTTCTGAATGATTCCACGCTGGCTTGGTGCTTTGATTTCCATTCCTGGCCCAGGACCGCTAATATGCATGTTTTCCTCTTGTTTGAGTCAGGAGACTTTAGGACAGATTCACAACTTTATGAAACAGCAAAAACTAATCACCTTGGTGATTTACCCATTTGTTGGCAATCGAGACCTACATTGGAATGTTTTTGCCAAATATTGTTGGAAAGCAAACATTTGCCGATTTGCAAAAGGAGCCCTTTCACTTGGGTTAACAATTGATTTATTTTACAGTGTTGGTTTAATGGCCTAGTTTGATCTCCAGTGCATCTTCCATATGTCAGGAGTATATTTCCCAACCTGCTTTGACCATGTTTGTGAAGTATTGTCATAACATTTTCCTCTAATAGTTAGTGCAGCCTGAAAATTGGGCTTCAGTTACCTGTGGCAGCATTGGGGCAGGCTTTGGAGTAAGAAACCTTCCTGAGATAACATCCACCGTGGAGATGGAGCAATGAAATCAGTTTGTTGCTCTCGTGCCAAGTGGACTGCCTCATCGCAGGCTTGTGAGAGATGGCGACGCCTTTTTCGAGGGCCTTCATCCAACTGTGGATTGATTATGGCTGACGGTGCCCGTGATGATGCTGAATGATGTTTGACCACTCTTGGCCTCAGCATGGAGGAAGACGAGGAGGAGGAGCCGGGGATTCTGTCGCTGTTGCCGGACTCGCTGCTGCTGCAGATCCTCTCGCACCTGGAGCCGCAGCACCTGCTGGCTGCCGGGCTTGTGAGCCGGCGCTGGCTCGCCGTGTCGCGAGATGAGTGGCTCTGGGGACGCCTCTTCCATCGCTGCTACGGCGTGCAGCCGCAGCGCGAGAACCTCAAGCCCGGTACAATCGCCGCACAAATGTGAAAACGCCCTCTTGCAGGCGGTGTGGCGGCCCCTTGCACTGATGATGTCTCATCGGCGAAAGTGGCCCCCCCCCACCCTCTTAAAATTAGTGAAGGGCACCGCCGTAGCATTTGGTTAACGGAGCTGCTGCTGCTGCGCATGTAGGCGCCACGTCGTGGCTGTGCGAGTTCCAGCGGGTGTACGAGACGGCGCCCTGCGTGGAGGCTGACGTGCTGATGGAGCACATGGACGAGGTGCTGCACGTGGCGTTCTCCCACGACGGCACGCGCTTCACCTCCTGCTCCAAGGACTGCACCATCAAGGTTCGTGTCTCCCCTGCGCTGCCACCAGGCCCAGGCCCCCCCCCCGCCGGGATCTGCAGTCCGCTCCGGGTGACGCTTTTGAGGTCGCACTCGTTACACACAAAGTGCTCGCCAAGAATGAACCGCGACAGCTCGCGGATCTCGTCAAGGAGCATAAACGATCACACGAACTCGAGTCATCCTCGCAGCAGCGGCTTTCGGCTCGCCATCGATGGTGATCAGAGCTGTAGCAGAGACGGAGGTGGCAACTTGACAGTGCCAGGAGTTGAATTCTCAGAGCGCGGTTGTCGTTTGATAAAAGTGCAAATGGACGATGGGTAGAACATTGACCCCTAACTGCGATTCCAACTGACCATCAGACAAAGACGGTCACCGCGTTGCGCGCATTCAGATGCCCCTCTGCGGCCGTCTGGAACGCTCTTCCTTCCGATATTAGCAAGCCACTGGGAGCAATGCACTTTTAAATCTATATATATAAAATCGCGAATCTGTCTGTCTGTCTGTGGGTCGCCGGACCATACACAGTTTCATTGGACGGCGGTTGCCCCTGGCAACGGGTAGCGACGCCTTCGCCGCTTTCATTGGACGGCGGTTGCCCCTGGCAACGGGTAGCGACGCCTTCGCCGCAGGGTGGACACCATTTTTAATTCCCGTTAAAAATAAGCGCACGCATTAACACGCGACTCTGAGGTAAATTCATCAAAGTTTCACGTCCTCTTCACTCCCCCCCCACCACAATGTGTGCAATTACTATTATAGGATCGGTAGATTATAAAATTATAGCGATTAGACAGTATTATTGTAGCGCGGGGGGGGGGGGGGAACGCCACCCGTACCCAGCCTCAGCCGGGTGGGCAATTTAGGCGAGGCCAGAGGCTCTGCACGGTGCTAGGCCTCGACACCCACCACGCGACTCTGAGGTAAATTCATCAAAGTTTCATGTCCTCTAAAGAGTGGTGAGGGAGGGAGAGTGGTGAGGGAGGGCGAGTGGTGAGGGAGGGAGAGTGGTGAGGGAGGGAGAGTGGTGAGGGAGAGGGAGGGAGAGTGGTGAGGGAGGGAGAGTGGTGAGGGAGGGAGAGTGGTGAGGGAGGGAGAGTGGTGAGGGAGGGAGAGTGGTGAGGGAGGGAGAGTGGTGAGGGAGGGAGAGTGGTGAGGGAGGTGGTGAGGGAGGAGAGTGGTGAGGGAGGGAGAGTGGTGAGGGAGGGAGAGTGGTGAGGGAGGGAGAGTGGTGAGGGAGGGAGAGTGGTGAGGGAGGGAGAGTGGTGAGGGAGGGAGAGTGGTGATGGAGGGAGAGTGGTGAGAGAGGGAGAGTGGTGAGGGAGGGAGAGTGGTGAGGGAGGGAGAGTGGTGAGGGAGGGAGAGTGGTGAGGGAGGGAGAGTGGTGAGGGAGGGAGAGTGGTGAGGGAGGGAGAGTGGTGAGGGAGGGAGAGTGGTGAGGGAGGGAGAGTGGTGAGGGAGGGAGAGTGGTGAGGGAGGGAGAGTGGTGAGGGAGGGAGAGTGGTGAGGGAGGGAGAGTGGTGAGGGAGGGAGAGTGGTGAGGGAGGGAGAGTGGTGAGGGAGGGAGAGTGGGAGGGAGGGAGAGTGGTGAGGGAGGGAGAGTGGTGAGGGAGGGAGAGTGGTGAGGGAGGGAGAGTGGTGAGGGAGGGAGAGTGGTGAGGGAGGGAGAGTGGTGAGGGAGGGAGAGTGGTGAGGGAGGGAGAGTGGTGAGGGAGGGAGAGTGGTGAGGGAGGGAGAGTGGTGATGGAGGGAGAGTGGTGAGAGAGGGAGAGTGGTGAGGGAGGGAGAGTGGTGAGGGAGGGAGAGTGGTGAGGGAGGGAGAGTGGTGAGGGAGGGAGAGTGGTGAGGGAGGGAGAGTGGTGAGGGAGGGAGAGTGGTGAGGGAGGGAGAGTGGTGAGGGAGGGAGAGTGGTGAGGGAGGGAGAGTGGTGAGGGAGGGAGAGTGGTGAGGGAGGGAGAGTGGTGAGGGAGGGAGAGTGGTGAGGGAGGGAGAGTGGTGAGGGAGGGAGAGTGGTGAGGGAGGGAGAGTGGTGAGGGAAGGACTCAGCCTCAAAACGAGTAACTGGTGTGGCGTATTAACATCGCCACTGGGGAGACAAAGGCGGCCGGGCGTGGTGGATACAAGTCCCGGGCGAAGCCGGGTAGTACAGCTAGTCATCATCTAGATTGATTTCTTTAGAACTGATTGTTTTTGTTTAGTTTGTTGTCCTTTCCCGCACCTCCGATTAGCACGGTTGGCTATCTATAGTCCGAAAGAAGGTCAGCATTCGTACATACATATCCACTGCTGGATGATTGTTTCTTCAAGCCATGTGGGTCATGGGGGGTTCGGATTTTAATATTCTTGGTTCTTTCGGTAAAGTCACGTAGAAGGGAAGTAATAAAATAATAAAAATAAAACATAATAAAACAATTCTCACGACGTTTCGGCCACAACGCAAGCAGCCGTCCTCAGGTGAAAACCAGGTCCGTCGAGGCGACAGAGTCTGAATGAAACAGCACACGAGCTTGGAGCATATATATAAGCTGGGCGCATTGACAAAGGAATTTGCATATCAAAAGGAATTTAGCATATTTATGGGAAATGCAGGAATGTGATTAGTACTGCATATGCATGTGCATTATGCAGGATTAACAGCATCAAAGGGAGCTGCAGTTACTGCTGCTGCAGCAGTTGCTGCTGCTGCTGCAGTTTCTGCTGCTGCTGCAGTTGCTGCTGCTGCTGCAGTTGCTGCTGCTGCTGCACTTGCTGCTGCTGCTGCACTTGCTGCTGCTGCTGCACTTGCTGCTGCTGCTGCACTTGCTGCTGCTGCTGCACTTGCTGCTGCTGCTGCAGTTGCTGCCTTATCCATTTTAATATAACACTATGTATTCTACCCACCCTAATGTGTATCATACTGCTATATGTTTACTGTACAATTACGACACCATACATTACTCCGCACACTGCACCCTGCCAGTGAGTGGAACGCGGTCTGAAAGTCACCATTAACGTGAACACAATCAGTTAAGATCCGAAATGGTTTATTACGTCCTTCCAATGATTGCTAAGCCAGAATCCATCTTCTCGGTTGAAATTGTCTCTGTGTTTGTATATGTGGATCGCCTCATGAACGAATCTCTCATGATAGCCAGATGGCTTGCAGAGAACCTCTGTCTTGGAGAAGTCAATGTCATGTGAGCCCACTGAATTGTAACAGTGATCTGCCACGGCTGAGGTGTTTGTCCTACCGTGTTTCAGGTCTGCCTTATGTTCACGGATGCGGTCCGAGACATGTCGTTTGGTTTCTCCAATGTAACTGCTACCACAGAGGCAACTTAGTTTGTAGACGCCAGGGTACTGTATGTCTGGAACCACATCTTTTACAGACGGGACCAGATCACGGATTTTATGTACTGTGTTGAATCGGACCTGGATCTTGTGTTTAATCAGGATTTTGGAGATCTTTTTTGTGACCCCAGCAATGTAGGGTAAGGTGATGGTCTTGAAAGGCTCCTCAACAGGATCCTTCTTGATGGTTGGAGTGATGGCTTTGCGGATTGTGTAGTCGGAGTAACCATTAGCCTTAAGAGCTTGGCGTACGTGTTTGAGTTCACTGGAAATGTGTTCATGGTCGGAGATGCATTGGGCTCTATGATATAGAGTCTTGATGAGGGAATTCTTCTGGGATGGATGGTGGTGGGAATCCGGTTTTAGATAAGCATCCGTGTGGGTGGCTTTCCTGTAGACAGAGTGGCTCATTGAACCATCAGGTCTCCTCTTGATTAGGACATCCAAAAAGGGTAGCTTGCCATCATTTTCGACTTCCATGGTGAATCTGATGGCTGGGTGTATGGAATTGATGTGGTCGAGAAATTGGTCTAGAGCAGGCCGGCCATGTGGCCAGATGACAAAAGTGTCGTCTACGTACCTATTCCATAAGGTCGGGCGTAGAGTGGCAGTCTGGATGGCGTCCGTCTCAAATTTCTCCATGAAGATGTTGGCTACAACCGGAGATAGGGGGGAGCCCATTGGGGTGCCCTAAATTTGCTTGTAGAAGGTTCCATTCCAGGTGAAGTATGTATTGGTTAAGCAGTGTCTCACCAGGGGGGGTACCCCAGCATTCAGTCCTTGATGAACCAAGTCTTCACACCATCGCAATCATTGAAGACTTGGTTCATCAAGGACTGAATGCTGGGGTACCCCCCCTGGTGAGACACTGCTTAACCAATACATACTTCACCTGGAATGGAACCTTCTACAAGCAAATTTAGGGCACCCCAATGGGCTCCCCCCTATCTCCGGTTGTAGCCAACATCTTCATGGAGAAATTTGAGACGGACGCCATCCAGACTGCCACTCTACGCCCGACCTTATGGAATAGGTACGTAGACGACACTTTTGTCATCTGGCCACATGGCCGGCCTGCTCTAGACCAATTTCTCGACCACATCAATTCCATACACCCAGCCATCAGATTCACCATGGAAGTCGAAAATGATGGCAAGCTACCCTTTTTGGATGTCCTAATCAAAAGGAGACCTGATGGTTCAATGAGCCACTCTGTCTACAGGAAAGCCACCCACACGGATGCTTATCTAAAACCGGATTCCCACCACCATCCATCCCAGAAGAATTCCCTCATCAAGACTCTATATCATAGAGCCCAATGCATCTCCGACCATTAACACATTTCCAGTGAACTCAAACACGTACGCCAAGCTCTTAAGGCTAATGGTTACTCCGACTACACAATCCGCAAAGCCATCACTCCAACCATCAAGAAGGATCCTGTTGAGGAGCCTTTCAAGATCATCACCTTACCCTACATTGCTGGGGTCACAAAAAAGATCTCCAAAATCCTGATTAAACACAAGATCCAGGTCCGATTCAACACAGTACATAAAATCCGTGATCTGGTCCCGTCTGTAAAAGATGTGGTTCCAGACATACAGTACCCTGGCGTCTACAAACTAAGTTGCCTCTGTGGTAGCAGTTACATTGGAGAAACCAAACGACATGTCTCGGACCGCATCCGTGAACATAAGGCAGACCTGAAACACGGTAGGACAAACACCTCAGCCGTGGCAGATCACTGTTACAATTCAGTGGGCTCACATGACATTGACTTCTCCAAGACAGAGGTTCTCTGCAAGCCATCTGGCTATCATGAGAGATTCGTTCATGAGGCGATCCACATATACAAACACAGAGACAATTTCAACCGAGAAGATGGATTCTGGCTTAGCAATCATTGGAAGGACGTAATAAACCATTTCGGATCTTAACTGATTGTGTTCACGTTAATGGTGACTTTCAGACCGCGTTCCACTCACTGGCAGGGTGCAGTGTGCGGAGTAATGTATGGTGTCGTAATTGTACAGTAAACATATAGCAGTATGATACACATTAGGGTGGGTAGAATAATACATAGTGTTATATTAAAATGGATAAGGCAGCAACTGCAGCAGCAGCAGCAAGTGCAGCAGCAGCAGCAAGTGCAGCAGCAAGTGCAGCAGCAAGTGCAGCAGCAGCAGCAAGTGCAGCAGCAGCAGCAACTGCAGCAGCAGCAGCAACTGCAGCAGCAGCAGAAACTGCAGCAGCAGCAGCAACTGCTGCAGTAGCAGTAACTGCAGCTCCCTTTGATGCTGTTAATCCTGCATAATGCACATGCATATGCAGTACTAATCACATTCCTGCATTTCCCATAAATATGCTAAATTCCTTTTGATATGCAAATTCCTTTGTCAATGTGCCCAGCTTATATATATGCTCCAAGCTCGTGTGCTGTTTCATTCAGACTCTGTCGCCTCGACGGACCTGGTTTTCACCTGAGGACGGCTGCTTGCGTTGTGGCCGAAACGTCGTGAGAATTGTTTTATTATGTTTTATTTTTATTATTTTATTACTTCCCTTCTACGTGACTTTACCGAAAGAACCAAGAATATGAATCCCTGCAGTCACGAAAGCTTTAAATCGAAATCGGATTTTAATTTCAAGTTTATTTTTGTTTAACCAGGTGAGAACTCAAGAGACCAGGATAGTCTCATTCGCAAGGATGACCTGGGGCATGTCTGCCTGGAGGGGGTGATGATTCCCACGTCTAATCCCAATGAAGTGATTTGTGAGTCATTTTCGAATTTTGGCAAATTTGGACCTTGACGTCATAATCAGGGCGGCCACCAAATTCGATCCACAAACCTCTGCGACAAGCAGCGGACGCTAGGCCATGTCACTAACCTATTTCACCATACTTTACCATGCTAGTTTAACACGTAGGCTTTCGCGACCAATATTATCCATAATAGAGGTTTTTGCATTAGATCGCGTAAATATAAATATGTCGTTAAACCCGCCACCACCCGACACAGCCAAATTAGTAAGGTTTGTCACGTCAACAGAACGTGCCAATTCGTTACTAGTACAGCACATCGGTGTGTTGGAGAGTAAACCCGCAATATTTACAATTCGAGCACGGTTGGCGACGTACGGTGCGAAAGAAGTTCAAAATACGTACAAAGCACAGCCTCGGCGGTACACGATTCGTTTGACTTTATCTTCAGCGCTGTTGAACCTCGTCATCATTGTGCCCTCCTGTTCGACTGCAAGCTGACGACAACCGTTTTTGCCGGTGACATAGCCCTGATGGCCTCTGGAAGTTCCATAAAGGAGTTACGATGGCATCTACAACAGGACTTCGATATTCTTCATCCTCGGCTGATTGCCCTAGAACTGGTCCTTAACGCTAAAAAAAAAACTTTAGTTTTTTTTTCCGGCTGCCCTAAACCTGGCCCGCCACACAATGTACAACTTTAAATATCTCGGCATTATTCTGGACCCGAAACTATCTTTCTAAACCGACGTGAAAAAACACAATAACTAAATTGGATTCCTATAATTCTAGACTTTTTTTCGTGACCGCAAGGATCCATACTCTTTGGTTCTTTCGGTCAAGTCACGTAGGTGAAAATAAAATTAAAATAAAAACAACTAAATTTGATTAAATTTAGTTGTTTTCATTTTTATTTTGACTTTACCGAAAGAACCAAAGAGTATGGATTCCTATACAAACACAAACGCTGTCTTCCACCTTGACTCCGACTCAATAAAGTTAATGCCACAATCCTGTTGTATTTGATTATTGTGACACCGTCTACCACCTAGCTTCTGAATTTACCTTAAAACGTCACATTCCAGCGCTCCGCTCTCTGTTTTGCTCTTGACTCCCCCTATAGAACGCATCGTAGCAACCTGTACAATGACTCAAATCTGTCCTCCCTGGATACTCGGAGAGGCCAGCACTGGGCTGTCTTTATCCAAAAGTCCTCTTAAACAAACCTGCCAAAGACCTAAAGGACCACTTGGCTCATCTTCCTCTCTCAGGAGTGGCGCCTCATTCCTGAAAAAAATTGCAATCGCTTCAACTTTGATAAAAAAAGTTTTTCCATGTTGCATTTCCACGTTTCGGGAATACCCTTGCTGCTCATCTCCAGCTTGGTTCCCTCCCTTCACTCCCACTTCTTTATGTCCCTGTTAGGCCCACAGTCAGAGCTTACTTTATTCTGGCACCTACTGCTCTCACATGTTTGCACTGGTTCTTTTTCTATTCGATTCGCGTGTGTGCTTATGTCGCTGTCCGACTAAAATATAGAGCTTGCTTGCACCTATACCTAACTTTTTCTGGCCCTTCTTGCTGTCAGACTAATACTTGCGCTGTCGTCCGTTTTGATTTTCACGTGCATCTCGTTGCTTAAGGGAACTGTGCTCCTCTGCAGTACTGACGTTTTTAGCCTCTTGTGTTTTTGTGTTGCCGCTCTGCGCTCACGCACCACGGGGATCTCCCTTGTAACTCAATCCAGGCTCGAAACCTGCTTAGCTCCCAAGATCTGACAAGGTTGGGTGCATCTAGATTATTTGTTTGGTCAACGGCAATCATTGTAGAACAATGTGGTTTATTTTACCCCAGCCATGTAATCGATGGGGTTTTGTTTGACCATACCGCACGATTGCTGGTTCATGTGAGATGAAGGAAGCACATTTTGTCTCGTCTCTCTATAACCAGCTGACCAGTGATCATCATCACTATCCATGAGCACATTTCGTCATTCGTTTCCGCTTTCCTTCGTCCTGTACTCAAGTAGTGCCACATCTTGCTGGCACCAATCTCTTCGGTCGTCAAGTAATTTCTCTGTTAAGTAGGCCAGTGATCGTATCCAGTAAAATAAAAATACATTTTCAAGCCTGTGATGCTGCCTTTTCCAAGACCATAAAAATTAACCCATAAAAACAAAGTTTTTCACTATAAATCCTTTATATGTGTGGCATCGGTTTTATTTTATTATTCATTTCTGTTTTTCTTGAGTAAGAGTTTCATTTTTATCACATTGGTATTTTAAATTAAATATGATTTTTTTTTTCCCTAAAAAGTGGAAAATTTTGGGAAAAAATTTCACGAAGATAAATTGTCACGCACAACGAGTCTGTGTGCAAAATGTCAGCTCGATTGGATAACGGGAAGTGGGTTAAAAAACGACCGAAAGATTTGCACTGTCGTAAGCGTGCAAGCAAGCAAGTGAACTTAATATAAAGGATAAAAAAAAGCAGCTGTGTTGGGCTCCAGCATGGCTCGTTGGCAGCTCATTCACAACCAGTCATCGGTAATAAAAGCATCATCATTATTTCTTTACTTCATGTCCACTCTGAGTGACCTTTAAATGTTGGTGTTGTGTATTCAGCGTCATGAACATCAGCAAAAAAATGATAAGCCTTATCGGCAGTAGTAAAATCCTTATCACTGCCATCACCATCGGCACCATCATAATCATTACTTTCCTTCACACCAGCATTGGGACCACCGGCACAGTCATCAACAGCAGTGGTAAGCACAGAATTATGTCTCGGTTAAAGCATATTCTTCCGCCCACGATACATTAATCAAATCCTATGTGAGAAGTGCTTAATTTACATTTGTATGCCCTATGCAGCCGTAAGAGGAGCTACATTCACCACTGTTACATTTTTTTTTAATCTTGAATCACATCACAACGTGAGAACCGTGAGAATTAATTGTTTCACGGGGGAGTGAATATTTACAAGTCTAAGTAGCGGCGTTGTCGTCATCCCACACCTCCGATTAGCACGGTTGGTTACGTACGGTGCGACAGAACTTCAACGTACACACATCATCAGCATGATCGTGACCCATGACCTGCCGCACATTGCAACTGCTAATTATCAATCCGAGGGAAAACTCCCGTCCATGTCTCCCTGTGCGCAGCTGTGGAGGTCTGATGACTGTAACTTGGAGCACACGGAGGACATGTGCAGCTACGACTGGAAGTACACGCAGTTCAGCCAGTTCAACTCGTGCGACACGCTGCTGCTCGTGTCGGGCGTCAGCGCCTCCCCCTACAACGCCTCCGCTGGCGACGTCCTCGTCTTCAGCCTGGGTATCGTGTCTCTGTATCCACTATCGTGTCTCTGTATCCACTACCATGTCTCTGTATCCACTATCATGTCTCTGTATCCACTACCATGTCTCTGTATCCACTACCGTGTCTCTGTATCCACTACCATGTCTCTGTATCCACTACCGTGTCTCTGTATCCACTACCATGTCTCTGTATCATCCACTACCGTGTCTCTGTATCCACTACCATGTCTCTGTATCCACTACCGTGTCTCTGTATCCACTATCATGTCTCTGTATCCACTACCGTGTCTCTGTATCCACTACCGTGTCTTTGTATCCACTATCGTGTCTCTGTATCCACTACCGTGTCTCTGTATCCATTATCGTGTCTCTGTATCCACTACCGTGTCTCTGTATCCACTATCGTGTCTCTGTATCCACTATCATGTCTCTGTATCCACTACCGTGTCTCTGTATCCACTACCGTGTCTCTGTATCCACTATCATGTCTCTGTATCCACTACCATGTCTCTGTATCATCCACTACCGTGTCTCTGTATCCACTACCGTGTCTCTGTATCCACTACCGTGTCTCTGTATCCACTATCATGTCTCTGTATCCACTACCGTGTCTCTGTATCCACTATCGTGTCTCTGTATCCACTACCATGTCTCTGTATCCACTACCGTGTCTTTGTATCCACTATCATGTCTCTGTATCCACTACCATGTCTCTGTATCCACTATCATGTCTCTGTATCCACTACCGTGTCTTTGTATCCACCATCATGTCTCTGTATCCACTACCGTGTCTCTGTATCCACTACCGTGTCTCTGTATCCACTATCGTGTCTCTGTATCCACTACCGTGTCTCTGTATCCACTATCATGTCTCTGTATCCACTATCATGTCTCTGTATCCACTACCGTGTCTCTGTATCCACTATCATGTCTCTGTATCCACTACCGTGTCTCTGTATCCACTATCGTGTCTCTGTATCCACTACCATGTCTCTGTATCCACTATCATGTCTCTGTATCCACTACCGTGTCTTTGTATCCACTATCATGTCTCTGTATCCACTACCGTGTCTCTGTATCCACTACCGTGTCTCTGTATCCACTATCATGTCTCTGTATCCACTACCGTGTCTCTGTATCCACTACCGTGTCTCTGTATCCACTATCGTGTCTCTGTATCCACTATCATGTCTCTGTATCCACTACCATGTCTCTGTATCCACTACCGTGTCTCTGTATCCACTATCATGTCTCTGTATCCACTATCGTGTCTCTGTATCCACTACCGTGTCTCTGTATCCACTATCATGTCTCTGTATCCACTATCATGTCTCTGTATCCACTACCATGTCTATGTATCCACTATCATGTCTCTGTATCCACTACCGTGTCTCTGTATCCACTACCGTGTCTCTGTATCCACTACCATGTCTCTGTATCCACTATCGTGTCTCTGTATCCACTACCATGTCTCTGTATCCACTATCATGTCTCTGTATCCACTACCGTGTCTCTGTATCCACTATCGTGTCTCTGTATCCACTACCGTGTCTCTGTATCCACTACCATGTCTCTGTATCCACTACCATGTCTCTGTATCCACTATCATGTCTCTGTATCCACTACCGTGTCTCTGTATCCACTACCATGTCTGTATCCACTATCATGTCTCTGTATCCACTACCGTGTCTCTGTATCCACTATCATGTCTCTGTATCCACTACCGTGTCTCTGTATCCACTACCGTGTCTCTGTATCCACTACCGTGTCTCTGTATCCACTATCGTGTCTCTGTATCCACTACCATGTCTCTGTATCCACTATCATGTCTCTGTATCCACTACCGTGTCTTTGTATCCACTATCATGTCTCTGTATCCACTACCGTGTCTCTGTATCCACTACCGTGTCTCTGTATCCACTACCGTGTCTCTGTATCCACTATCATGTCTCTGTATCCACTACCGTGTCTCTGTATCCATTATCATGTCTCTGTATCCACTACCGTGTCTCTGTATCCACTATCGTGTCTCTGTATCCACTATCATGTCTCTGTATCCACTACCATGTCTCTGTATCCACTACCGTGTCTCTGTATCCACTATCATGTCTCTGTATCCACTATCGTGTCTCTGTATCCACTACCGTGTCTCTGTATCCACTATCATGTCTCTGTATCCACTATCATGTCTCTGTATCCACTACCATGTCTATGTATCCACTATCATGTCTCTGTATCCACTACCGTGTCTCTGTATCCACTACCGTGTCTCTGTATCCACTACCATGTCTCTGTATCCACTATCGTGTCTCTGTATCCACTACCATGTCTCTGTATCCACTATCATGTCTCTGTATCCACTACCGTGTCTCTGTATCCACTATCGTGTCTCTGTATCCACTACCGTGTCTCTGTATCCACTACCATGTCTCTGTATCCACTACCATGTCTCTGTATCCACTATCATGTCTCTGTATCCACTACCGTGTCTCTGTATCCACTATCATGTCTCTGTATCCACTACCATGTCTCTGTATCCACTATCATGTCTCTGTATCCACTATCGTGTCTCTGTATCCACTATCGTGTCTCTGTATCCACTATCGTGTCTCTGTATCCACTATCATGTCTCTGTATCCACTACCATGTCTCTGTATCCACTACCATGTCTCTGTATCCACTATCATGTCTCTGTATCCACTACCATGTCTCTGTATCCACTATCATGTCTCTGTATCCACTACCGTGTCTCTGTATCCACTATCGTGTCTCTGTATCCACTACCGTGTCTCTGTATCCATTATCATGTCTCTGTATCCACTACCGTGTCTCTGTATCCACTATCATGTCTCTGTATCCACTATCATGTCTCTGTATCCACTACCGTGTCTCTGTATCCACTACCATGTCTCTGTATCCACTATCGTGTCTCTGTATCCACTACCGTGTCTCTGTATCCACTATCATGTCTCTGTATCCACTACCGTGTCTCTGTATCCACTACCATGTCTCTGTATCCACTACCATGTCTCTGTATCCACTACCATGTCTCTGTATCATCCACTACCGTGTCTCTGTATCCACTACCATGTCTCTGTATCCACTACCGTGTCTCTGTATCCACTATCATGTCTCTGTATCCACTACCGTGTCTCTGTATCCACTACCGTGTCTTTGTATCCACTATCGTGTCTCTGTATCCACTACCGTGTCTCTGTATCCATTATCGTGTCTCTGTATCCACTACCGTGTCTCTGTATCCACTATCGTGTCTCTGTATCCACTATCATGTCTCTGTATCCACTACCGTGTCTCTGTATCCACTACCGTGTCTCTGTATCCACTATCATGTCTCTGTATCCACTACCATGTCTCTGTATCATCCACTACCGTGTCTCTGTATCCACTACCGTGTCTCTGTAGCCACTACCGTGTCTCTGTATCCACTATCATGTCTCTGTATCCACTACCGTGTCTCTGTATCCACTATCGTGTCTCTGTATCCACTACCATGTCTCTGTATCCACTACCGTGTCTTTGTATCCACTATCATGTCTCTGTATCCACTACCATGTCTCTGTATCCACTATCATGTCTCTGTATCCACTACCGTGTCTTTGTATCCACCATCATGTCTCTGTATCCACTACCGTGTCTCTGTATCCACTACCGTGTCTCTGTATCCACTATCGTGTCTCTGTATCCACTACCGTGTCTCTGTATCCACTATCATGTCTCTGTATCCACTATCATGTCTCTGTATCCACTACCGTGTCTCTGTATCCACTATCATGTCTCTGTATCCACTACCGTGTCTCTGTATCCACTATCGTGTCTCTGTATCCACTACCATGTCTCTGTATCCACTATCATGTCTCTGTATCCACTACCGTGTCTCTGTATCCACTACCATGTCTCTGTATCATCCACTACCGTGTCTCTGTATCCACTACCATGTCTCTGTATCCACTACCGTGTCTCTGTATCCACTATCATGTCTCTGTATCCACTACCGTGTCTCTGTATCCACTACCGTGTCTTTGTATCCACTATCGTGTCTCTGTATCCACTACCGTGTCTCTGTATCCATTATCGTGTCTCTGTATCCACTACCGTGTCTCTGTATCCACTATCGTGTCTCTGTATCCACTATCATGTCTCTGTATCCACTACCGTGTCTCTGTATCCACTACCGTGTCTCTGTATCCACTATCATGTCTCTGTATCCACTACCATGTCTCTGTATCATCCACTACCGTGTCTCTGTATCCACTACCGTGTCTCTGTATCCACTACCGTGTCTCTGTATCCACTATCATGTCTCTGTATCCACTACCGTGTCTCTGTATCCACTATCGTGTCTCTGTATCCACTACCATGTCTCTGTATCCACTACCGTGTCTTTGTATCCACTATCATGTCTCTGTATCCACTACCATGTCTCTGTATCCACTATCATGTCTCTGTATCCACTACCGTGTCTTTGTATCCACCATCATGTCTCTGTATCCACTACCGTGTCTCTGTATCCACTACCGTGTCTCTGTATCCACTATCGTGTCTCTGTATCCACTACCGTGTCTCTGTATCCACTATCATGTCTCTGTATCCACTATCATGTCTCTGTATCCACTACCGTGTCTCTGTATCCACTATCATGTCTCTGTATCCACTACCGTGTCTCTGTATCCACTATCGTGTCTCTGTATCCACTACCATGTCTCTGTATCCACTATCATGTCTCTGTATCCACTACCGTGTCTTTGTATCCACTATCATGTCTCTGTATCCACTACCGTGTCTCTGTATCCACTACCGTGTCTCGTATCCCTATCATGTCTCTGTATCCACCTGTTATCCACTACGTGTCTCTGTATCCACTACCGTGTCTCTGTATCCACTATCGTGTCTCTGTATCACTATCATGTCTCTGTATCCACTACCATGTCTCTGTATCCACTACCGTGTCTCTGTATCCACTATCATGTCTCTGTATCCACTATCGTGTCTCTGTAT